CGTTTGCGACCCTGGTGCGGCCGGGTACGGGTAGGCCGTGAGTCACTGGTGAGTCACCGTTTGTCATCTCATTTCCCAACGTCTTGTCTCTTCTCACAATTCAAGTTCCTAGAATCAACCCACCCTCGCCTGCAACATGGCTTCATCCCAGAGGTCGCAATAGGGTACCCGATACCCGGCCGGATACGGGTATTGGGTAGGGTACGGGTACCCATTTGCGACCCTGGTGCGGCCAGATACGGGTACGGGTAAGGAATCAAAACCCGTTTGCGACCTCTGCTGTTGCTCCATTGGGCCACGTCAAACAAACTCCTCAACGGCCTGCCAGGGCCCCTGGTGACAAATCCACCAAGGAGCGTCGACCACCACCATCACACGCAAACTCTGGTGGTCATCCTCGAAGCAGCAGCAGCGGATTTTGTCTGCCAGCCATTCTGCGGCCGTCCGGAACTCTCTTTCTTCCGATATATTAGGAAGCCCATTGGAGCTTAATTTGTTTTACTATTAATGTATTAAAAGTACTTTCGAACGAGCCGGCATTACATTACAGGACGTTCTGTTTGATTTTTTGTATTGCTATGCAATGTGTCCAGCATTTGTTATTTCTTCTGTAGCGCGGTTGCTGTGCTCCGATTTTGTTTTATTTACATCGATTTATTTTGCTTTTTAGTCCTCTTTGTCATTCGGATGACTCCGGCTACTCTTCCAAATGAGTTTATCGAGTCCTCACCTGGTTAAACAAATTTAATTAAAAAATAAATTAATTAACAGTTTCCTCTGAGAGTATTTGGCTGCTATGAATTTTCAAGTGATAATAAGCCACTTCATTGAGCTAAGATTTGAGGCCAGGTTGCTTCTGAAAAATAGCTCAGTGAGCCTTACCTGGTAAAATAAAAAAATGTTTTCATAGTTTAGTAGTTTCGTTTGGCTGCATAGACTTTGTCACAGCCAAAGCTGTTTGTGAGCACCGATTAAGGCCAGCACAACATCACACGATGTGCCTGGGCTGCCTTTGTCTCCCCAATGTTGAAGTTAACCACACCACGTCGGCCTGACTCGGATGCAAATTGTCCTGGAAAAACATGAGCCGCGTTTGTATTCAGCACTCGTACTCATTTGATTGAAACACTTTGCAGTCTGATTCACTGTATGATCTCCACACAGATGGGACGCACAATGAACTTAACGATTCACTTACTTCCTCCACTCCAATTCCACCGATGCTGAACAAAAACCCACTTTCTGCACCACGAGCTTTAGCCGGTTATCATGATTTTTTCAGAACATCCCTCAACTGTTGCTGGAATTTTGCATGGCTAGGAACTAAACGGATACACACACACACACATAAAGATACGTGAATAGAAATGTGCAGATATAGGGGCGCGTACACACGTGGTTGGATCCTGCCATAGAAATGTGGAACTGCTGCCAACGAGCAAGGAATTGGCGCTTACTCGGCTGGAATGCGGCCCGTCTCGTCGGATCTCGGAAGCTAAGCGGGCTTGAGCCTGGAAAGTGCTCGAATTAGGTGACCACCATCCATGCCAGGTTGCCATAGTCGGCAGCAGAACGGTGCTACTTGGTCTGTAGCAGAGGCTGACAACCCAGCACGAACTGGCATGGTGAAGTTGTGGTCAAATGACCCCTCAAAGACCATAACAGCCCTCATCCAGCCGTGGATTGAAAATGCACTTGTATTGACCTGTGGTTGCCATGGTCGACAAGCAGTGGTCAGCGGTTAGTCTACTTTGTCATCCGAATTGTTCCTCAAACTACACACCTTCAAAATGAACACACACGAATCCCTGCATTCACAAAATCTCCGTATATAGCGGTGCCAGCGTAGGTTTCTTACCACTTTTCCTTTAAAACAGTAGTTTACTCCCTGTTTTGCCCTCTAGCCCCCCCCGCCCCCCCATCTAATCTGTTGCTCATCCCCACTACCTTTGCTCTTAAGATAATCGCCCGAGTTGACGATGTTTGTTCTCTGTTAGCAGTGCAATGGGTGGTCGCATTAATTTTCAAATTGCTCTTAGTCTCGTGTTTGTGTCCCGTCGTGAATAATCGTGGGACCTTGGGAAATCTACCAAATCCCGTTAAGTTTATTTACAAAAATACATCAAGGAAGATGCGATCGATTAACACATTGTGATTGCAGGTTAAGAGTCACGTTTGTTGCGGCTTTTATGTCTAGAATTATATTACACAAGTCCATCATTAAAAATATTTAATCGTAGGGGGCACCGGTGCCGCAGCTGTTCGTGTCCTGCGCTGCATACCTCGGTGACATCGATGACGGCAAACATCACTCATTGCTGAGAATGTTTTCATTTTACGTCGAGCATTAACGTGATGGCAACTTGAGCGGCAGATTTGTGACCGAAAGGTGCCACGTGTTTAAACAAAAATAAAATGTATATTCTTTGGTTCTTTCGGTAAAGTCACGTAATAGAACGACGATTTAAAAACACCGCGTAGGTGCTTATATCTACGCGGCTTTACCGAAATAACCAAATAATATGAATTCCTGCAGTCACGAAAGTTTTAAGTCAAAAAATAAAATGTACTTGCCTTGACATTGACCAGCGCAGGCAAAGTATGACCAATCAACCCCCACGAACAACACGGCGCAGGGAGGAATTCAACCGGCAGTAGACTAACAAAGGGCTAGTAAATTATTGTTTCAAATTGTAACTCTGCGACGTATGTTTTGGGTCGCACCGCGTGTTGTTCAGAACGAGCGAAACGTCGGTCGTCGCGATAAACACCACCAGTGACATCCCAAACTCTCGTCCTCTCCATATTCTGCCACAGTCCACCCGCCGCCCCATGCTTTCACACTGGAATAATTCAGCAGCACCAAGGCACCATATGGATACTCATAGTCCTGGGGGTACAACCCCCGAGTTTTAAACACCTCCACAAGCAAAGCGCGCGGCGGTCGGTCATGGGGGGGGAAAAGAGAATCTGTTAGGAGGATGACTCATCGGAGATGATAACACCTCCAACAACCCAGCTTGCCCGCTGCTAAAAATAGATAAGTAGCCGTGTAATAAGCGCATAAATGCAATACATGCGGAATCTCATTATTCTCGCGTTATGGCGGGGACGGCGAATGGCAATCCTAAGGACACCCAAGGCTAATAAATGCCAGATGACATTCTGAATGTCGTAACTAGAAGAATGATTATGCTACTACTGGTGTCAGCAGGGCATTTGTGACAATGAATGAAATGGACATTCAAACCCACGCAGATCTAGTGTACCCACCATACAGCGGCTTTGTTACGGTACCGAGTCGGTCGTACGAGGCTTCAGTGCCTGCAAACACGCTCTCCACTTGGCTTGCACGATAACAAAGGTGTATTATTTACTGCGTCCATGCACCGATACAATATGATGAATGTTAAAAGTGTCATCTATTGCATGATATGTTTCTAGGGTTTGATATTTTTTATATATACGTTTGATTTTTGACAAATTATTTCGTCAACTAATTTAGTATATCCTCAGTCATTGGTGTATTTCATATGTTATCAATAACTGGGGATACGTATATTGAAAAAGTGTGTAATAAACAATCAAACACGAACATCAAATGTCAAAACAATATCACTGACCCCACACACTGCTTTACAAGACAACCTTGTTGGGACGTTTGTCCTTTTCCATCTTGAGATATTTTTCTGCAGGAGGAAAACAAGTCTCCGGAATGGACCTACATGTGGAACATTGAAAACTCATTTCTTTAGAACTGCTTTTAGTGTTAGTTTGTTGTACTTCCCCCGCACCTCCGATTAGCATAGTTGGCTAAGTACAGTGCGAAGACAAGTTATTCATACATACAGACATTTAAGGAGATGATACCGAAACACTGCTATACTGGATATCCAAGCAATACACAGGGAGTGTCCTCTTATCCACTGTTCACGAGCCCCACGTCAAAGCCATTAGAGGCATGCACCGCCAACACACACCGCCAACACACGTGTGAAAAACGTCACTGGTGGCATCTCCAGAATGTGCGGCTGTGCGCGTGTCTGTGCGTCGTTGTGCGTGGAGGGGTAGCGTGGTGTTTAGTGCACGGACCTAACCACACAATTCTGGTGACCAGGGTTCAATTTCCTGCCATAGGCAATACAGTTGATAATATTATTTGTATCTGGAACGGTACTGGGTCTTCCCTAGGTCAACTCAGCCTTAAAACAAGCACCTGGTGCAGTGTGTAAACGTCTTCACTGGAGAGACAAATGCAGCCAGGTGCAGTGCTGGCCACAGCACCGCCTCCTGTACCATACTTGCTGTGTACGTGTCACTTGACACACTGAACGCCCTGGCAAATGAGAAGTTCCTTCTAATGGGATTATCCAGGAATAATATTTTAAGAAATAATTAAAAACAGTAGATGCTCGATAACAGCATTGGCCATTCCAGTGGGCAGAACAGGAGGTGCTTGTTGAATTAATGTTATCCCGATCGTACAATCATTGACATGCCGTGTGTAAAGCTACCAATTGAGATTTCTCACAGAGAAATGCGACAATGTCCCACAGAAGCGGATGACACAGAACTACCTCTGAAATTCTTCAAGTAGCCTTGGGTCCACACAGCAGGGGAAATCACTCTCCCACCACTCGCTCTGCCACTGAGCGCAATGTTAACTGCATGATAATCACACTGTTACTTTAATTCTCAGAGTTGGAATTTAGCCAAAGCAAGTGCAGAACCGAATGGAATGCGACTTTTCTTAGTGCAGTCATTGGGTGCCCGTGATGACAGGAGGATTAACAATACGCATTTGCATGTATAGGGCACTTTCTTAACAGCCTCAGCATCTTAAAACATCGCATCTCATCCCAACCGTTCTAGTGCCCCTGCTGCAGTCTTAGCTGCCCCTATATGGCACGAGGTGACACGGTACCGGACTGCACGTAGGCACTGATCTGCCAGCCAGCTGGAGGCAATGCAGGATTCGTCTGGGATTGTGTGCAGCTCACCTTGCCGTCGCTGTACCACAGGCGTGCGTGGTGGCGGGACAGCACCTTGCAGTCAAAGGTCGCGTTGTTGGTGGCCGCGCGACACCGCGCCACCGAGCGTCCGACCCTCACGGCCTCCGCCAGGCACAGGCGCCGCTCCTGGAAGGCGTGGGAGTCCGGCCGCGACGACAGCACGGCTTGAGGCCACGGCATGACTCCCTCCTCCTCCGCGCGTGCACCCGCCCGGCCGCCCGCCAGTTCCACCCCGCCAACGCCCGTCGTCCCTGACGCTAACCGCCGAGCCGTCGGGGGAAGCACGGTGCTCAAAGTTAGGGCCGTTCCGGTCCGTCAGGCTGAAGAGAGCTGGGCCGGCTGATAAGGCAAGAAGGCACTTGGTGGGTGCAGTTCGGCCGGTGCGCTCAAGATAAAAGACAAAACGCTCAGCTTCAAAAGGTTCGTCGCGTGGGCGTTTTGTCGATTCGGCAGCAATTCTTGCACGGGGGTAGAGGCCACGATCACACAAAGCTTTGCGATGCCGCTGGGACGTCGTGCAAGATGAAAGTCAGGTCCGTCCGTCGGCCTCTACAATACAAAGGATTCTCTACGAGAGGCGTTGATAAATCCTACGCGATTGCCTCTCGCGTTGATCTTGGCACAGTGGGTACTCATGTGAGTAGTGTGTTGGTATTGTCAGCACATGCTCATCCCAGCCAGATGGAGCTGATAAAATCCATAACCACGTGATCAACGTTACTGTAGCAAAGGCTCCAAACAGGCACTTGAAGCTGCAGGACGTTTTTTCTCTTGGGTGTTGTTTTGTTATATCACAGTGATCGTTGATTTTTTTTATAAGGTTGTTTTGATCGATAGAACTTTAAACTTGTCTTGCGATGGTATGATCTTTCTTGTTAAATGGAGCTACAGAAGCGATTCCCACAATTGATCACTTTACCCAGGAGCCTCAGGCTTGCGTTTTTGTTTATATTAAATAAAACGGGGCTCTTTTTTCCCCCCTCTCAACACTGATATGCAGGCAGTATTTTGTTGTAAGTACTGCACGAGTATGTGTATTGACGGATGCGGCGCGACTGTTCAAAAATTGGCGGTTTCAGGATTAACCCAAGACTTTCTATGTAACCACCTGCGGAGCTAGCACTCGCTCGCTGTGGGCGACGGCTCACTTAGGCACTTGGGGAAGAGAAAAACAAAAACGAACACGAACAGACTGTTGGCGCCCAAAGCTCGCGCGTTCGCAAAGTTCCTCCACGCGCGGACGGAGAGCGCCCGCGATGCAGCAGGCAGTGCAAATAACGGGAAGCACCAAGTTCCGACCGGAGACCAGAAACCATCCGTCCACGGGAGCATCCACAGGGCTGGGTCCGCACCAGGCACCACGAGGTTGGAGGTAGAATCCGCGCATTCAGCGCGATAATTCCAGCGCGAGAAGATCTCGCTCGGCGAACTCCCTCGTGCGCATCCGGATATGCTCCGGCACGCGCTGCTCTCTCAATGTCATGTCGCCACCTTGGTACGCCGCTGCATCAGGAACACGATGTGCGGAAGCCAAGTGCGCTGCGACTGCATTGCCTTGGAACCCTGACGAAAGGCGTTGTTCGCACGCGTTTATTTTTTATCGATGTGACCAAAAGCGCAATCGCGTTTTCGCTACGACGATGGGGCACCTGTGCAATACGGTGCCGAACGTCCATACGTTAAAGAAAACGGAGATAAGTTGTTATTATGTTTGAGAAATGTATTACTATTTCCAAATGGGCTGGCAACCTCCCCATGCTAAAAATAAATTCTGCAGACTACGACCTACACCGTCAGTGCGTTGTGTTGCAGTCCAGCAATGCCCGTTCCACCCTGCTCAGTTCAGAATTTCCTTGGCAGAACAAGCATATGCGGGCAACTGCAGGGTACCAGCTGGAATGTAGCTTTCTGTAGCAGAGCCCGGCATTTGCATTTGCGGGTCGGGCGGGCGGTCAGTTGGTCGGCTTGCGCCCGGTTGGCAGATCACGAGCTCCGCACGCCCCTCGTTGCTGCACAGAGCTCAGGTTTCAACCGGAACAGAGGGCTGTACCACACACGCACAGACACACACACACGGGCGCAAACACAATTGCAAAAGTACCATTTTTCCAGAAAGATTGTCAGAACAGGTACTGTTAAGCATTCGTTTCTTAAAGCTGGCACGGCACTTCAGTGATGTGTGGGCAGCAGAACGCTAGATTGTGGAGGCGACCAGGATTAAACTCACATGTGTGTGTGCTTGTGCATTATCCATCACTTCACAGACACACGAGATTCCAAACACACAACTGTAGCCTTAAAAGCCACAACACAAAGCCTTAATGCTCTGTTATATATGAGCACCGCCATCGGCATTTCTAAACACTATGAACAGCAGCTTGCTCATTCAGGTGGGACAGCGGTCAACTGGTGCAAGTGTTGAGTAATGGGAGCTGCCTTGGTTGATCTGCACTTTGCTGCGGTGCCCATAAAATCTGACGCCGAGACCGTGTGGCAAGAAGATAGATGCGTTTCCATCCTAATGATGCAATAAGTATGCACAACCTGCCCAGCAGCATTGCGGGTCGATTGGCTCACAAGACAATTTCCCGGAGAGTTCAGTGGAATAGCAAACGACTTCCAAACACCTGAGCCATTGACTAAATTAATTGGGCAGCCGTTGCAAAAGGAAAGTAGAAACTAATCATAAATCAAAAGGCAACGGGGAATTACAATTTTTTTTTAATAATCCTGCTGCCTGTCGCAGGGAAAACTCTGATACCGAATCTGATTTATTATTAATGTGATGTTTTGAAATGATAATTTAATGTTGCAGATTAAAATTAACCTCTTGAACTGTGTTTGGTAGTGATGACTGCAGGTACAGAATATTAAGAGAGGTTACATTCTGGGATTAAATACTCCAGGCTATTATTAGATGGCCGAATCACCTGGAATGTGCTAAATCTCGTCAGATGTCAGAAGCTAAGCAATGCTGGGCCTGGATAGTGCTTGGTTGAGCCACCACCCATGCAGAATCAGATTATTTATTTATACTGGAAGAATCCGATGGGCTATACGGCAATTTTTTCACAGATGGGGCAGGTCAGAACGTGGCAACAACAAACAATAAAAAACACAATAAGAGTAAACAAGTCGCTTGATAAAATATACAAATAATTTTTTTTTATCTTACCAGGTAAACCCCTCTGAGGAATTATCTTATATTTCAGAAGCGACCTGGCCACAAATAATAGCTCAACGAAGTTGCTTATCATGTGGAAATGATAGCAGCAAAATTCTTTAAATAATCTAACTGCATGTTTCTACACGTGGAAGGAAAAACTGGAGGATCCGGAGAAAAAATCCACGCGACCACGGGGAGAACATGCAAACTCCAAAAATATAGGCGTCAGGGTCTGGATCGAACTCCCGACCTCCTGCATACCTGGCGAAGGAGATAACATCTCACGCTGACAGCAGACTATCAGCATGGCGTGGGGGCTACATGGTGAGCACAGAGAAGGTAGCGCATAAAAACCCACTGTTACACCGTACTCGATGCTACCGCAGCACCAACCCGCACTGACCAGCATGAAGAAGTGTGGTCAAATAACCCCCAAGAAACGCACAGCGAGGAGAGGCCCTCATCCAGCAGCGGATTATCAAAGGGCCGTACACGTGCCCATGACGCGTGGCAAGCGTAACGCCAGCTCTGATACGACTGCACTGGGTGCATCGTGCATGGGTGAACGACAACTCTGGATCAGGCACAGTCCATCTTCCCACGTTAACCAATCGAGAAATGGATGTGTAATCCAGTTAACCGGGGAAATTGGGAATAATGGTTGACACTGAACGGTATAATTGTTCACGTGACTATGGTTACGGTAGTTATTCAGGCGGGCCTTTGAGCATCATACATCTCCACTGCAAACTGAATAACTATTATACTTTATATCATTTGACAAGAAGCTATCCGTAAAAATGTAATTATGAAAAGAGTTGGCAGAGACATAGAAACCACAAACTTGACATGGAGGCACATTTGTGTAATGATTGAGAGGATACTGCGACTTTGCCACGAGTTAATTATTTCAGCTACATTAACTCTCTCGGCCATAGCTCGGGAGGAACACGTTGGCTCGTGCTACTTTGGTATTTGCACCACAGCGTACTGGCAGCAATGTTCGCGGGGTGCAGGTGCGTGACCGATAGTGGTGCTACAGTGCGAACTGCTGCTTGGAATTGTAGGTCACGAGGTGAACCGCGTGGGCCCGTGTTCAAGCGCTCGTGTCGGCAAGTGCCTGACTACTACTACATAAGTTTCCTTCGATTACACTGGTCAACAAAAAAAATCTGGCCTGGACTTTTGCAGCTGTTTCAGACTAATTTCAGGGTGCCGATTCCAAATCTGATCTCAGATTTGCTCTATCACATCTTATTTCGATGCTATCGGCATACCCCATTTTCATTGATTTTACCCGAAATTAACTCTGTCACTTATGATTGCAAGTTGTTGCGAGTCGGTGACTGCTTTAGTGTTAAAATATGGTGCTGTATTTTTAGGATAGTGTGTTTACAATATCATTTTATGTAGATATCCACATTTATTTAATATTTTTCTTCTGCAGTTTTTATTGAAAATGCAATATTTGATATCTCAAAAAACCTGATGTGATAGACAAAAACTGATGCCAGATTTGTAATCAGCACCCCAAAATTACATTTAAGACCGTTGGAATACCTTATTCCAGAAAAAGTGTGTTGACCAGTGTAAGAGGTCAGTGCGAACCAGCAAACCGAACACTTGCAGAACATGCAGCAGGCTCGAGGCTGGGCGCCCTGGCAGGATTACACTTCGCGTTGAAGCATCTTGACTGTGATAGAAGGCGAACGGCATCGTACGTGTTCGTCGTATTAAGAGACCAACGACATAAAAACAAAACTCCACACGATCGTCAACAACACATGCCCGGGGCCTTAAAACGAATAAAATAAGTAATATTTAAAAAAAACTTTTTTTTAAACAGGCTTGAATGAAATATACCCTACTAGTAATGGAAGAACTCCACGACTCCAGGAAATGTCCCCGATGCTTGCCATAACGTAAGCGGCCGTGGTCATTTACAGCCAACGTGAGTTGAGCGTGGACAATTAGACCCAAGCCGAAACATGACATATAAAAAAAATGTACAATTTTTTTTTTACTTTAATGATAGAATATAGTATTGTCATCAGTATGACATAAATATACCAAGTTTGCAGTGGATACCACATTGGGAAGTTGGTAAAAATTGAGTTGCAAGATTTGAGGATACAACAACAGACAGAGTGAGTTAATAGAAAGCGTGTAATAAAAATTACCTATAGCAGGTGACATTTTGGCCAATAACCCTTCTGTATTAAGAAGAGCAAAGGGGCACACAATTTCCTTTCTTCTTCGCACGCAATTGCACTTCTTCATGAAGGGTCATTGCCCGAAACGTCTAGAATTATCCAATTGTATATATTTTTTTCATTTTCTGTTAAGGCAATTTTGTTGCCAATGCAGCGTCACAATATGATAATGTATTATCGAGGAAACCACTACACACTTTAAGTCTCAAAAGACATCATGGACATTGTCCAGAGAGTAAAAACGCATTATGTGAATCTCTCCATTCAATTCACAGCAGAACGTGAAGTGTTCTCGCAGCATTCAAGCCCTGTAATAATTCTGCCCTCTCTATATCCGGGAAAGCTCCAGTCTCAACACTCTTTCCGGAGGAACAGACTGCCGAATACTTTTTCTATTTCTAAGATTAAGTACCCTTATAATAATGCAGGATACAAATTGATAATTTGAACTCTCATGTAATACGCAACCCCATTTTAAAACGTTCCATTCTGCCGACATTGTATAAGTGTGTATTAATAATTAGTTCAAACACACACGCCTGATAATGTCTTTGCAAAAATGCCAATGTTCCAGTGAATGTATAATAATCAACATGTAGTGGAGACACCCAATTCACTCCGAGTAGCCCTAAATATTCGGCACGTGCAGGGTGCCCCACGAATAGACACACCACTGATTTCTGAACGTCTCCCATTCAACAGGCGACTGAAATTGTGAAGGCGATGGCTTACATCATATTAACGAGTGGAATGAGATTGGTGGAAGACACGTTGAGGCTTGGAAAGTGCCGTTTTGTCTGTAATGTATCCCTGTTATTATAGTGGGAGTATCTATACACGGATCACCCTGTATGTATAGAACTCCACTGCATGCAATGTACATACATCATAATAATTCCATGCATATATCGCTTTTCATCAAGGATCTCAAAGCGCTGCACAGGACACAGCAGCAGCAGCAGACACTCAGTATAAAAATAATATTATAAATACGTGTAAAAAAATAATTAACTAAATGAACTAAAAATGTAATAAGCGGAAGCATGATGCAGTACATGAGACTGGGTGATTGAACTTTCGACTCACAATCCAAATCCTCAGTAAAAAAAATTCTGGTCAATGGTGGCATCACCACCAGAGGTCGCAAACGGGTTTTGATTCCTGACCCGTACCCGGCCGCACCAGGGTCGCAAACCGGTACCCGTACCCGGCCGTACCCGTACCCTACCCGTTCCCGACCGGGTATCGGGTACCTGATTGCGACCTCTGGGATGAAGCCATGTTGCAGGCGCGGGTGGGTTGATTCTAGGAACTTGAATTGTGAGAAGAGACAAGACGTTGGGAAATGAGTGACAAACGGTTACTCACCAGTGACTCACGGTCTACCCGTACCCGGCCGCACCAGGGTCGCAAACGGGTACCCGTACCCGACCGGGTACGGGTAGCTGGGTATCGGGTAGGGTACGGGTATCGGGTACCCGGTTGCGACCTCTGATCACCACTAAGATCTGCGCATGCACGTCATGAAACCAGCCAGGCAGCCAGGCAACCAGGCAGCCAGGAATCCAGCCAGGCAGCCAGGAATCCAGCCAGGCAGCCAGGAATCCAGCCAGCAAAACTCCCCCTCACCACCCAACCAATAAACCAATATAGAGTCGTGTGGTAACGCTCCGTTCCTTAGTTTGAATCGGTCTCCTTGAGCTATAAAATTGTTCCAATGCAGCAAATTCGCCTCTGATGTGAGTAATAAAGTGTCCAACACTGGCGGGCAAGCGCTGTACTTCGTGTACTTATTAAAGGAGTAATCTCCTACGAGTGCACACTCGTGCAATTGCCGATATGTCACGTAAGAGATGACAATTACATTAGTAGCCAAATGTTACGCATTTGCATGTATATATTGTGGTGAACACAGGTACACTGATAGCAATTCCCACACTTTAAACATACTCGGCGCGAAACGGGAGGTTATACATTCCGAATAGGTGATTAAAACATAACACAACTCGTGTTTAGACTAATGTTGAATTAAAGTGTGGAGTCCTGTACGTGTATAATAACTGTGTCCGAGTAAGATGTATGTATTACACTGTTATGCACTACGTTTGTTGACATATGTGCGTTTAAAGTATGTGCTACTGTGTTCGTGTAAATTTTGCGCAGGACTGTAAATCGATGAACGTGCAAGATATTTATCTAAAATACCGTAACTCACTCGTATACACCACAGCATCCACTACGCAGTTAACATTTACTTTTGATTTAAAGTATTGTTTTATATTTTTTTTATTTTATTATTTCCCTTCTACGTGACTTTACCGAAAGAACCAATCAAATTAACATGTACCGTTACGTCTAGCAGACACACGCGCGCGTACAAATACACCTAGGAAGGTGTAATAACTGATGTAAACTTGCGTGTTGACACACAATGCAGACAAAGTGCTTCTGCAGATCTTACTCTTGCTGCTGTCAACGAAACACCGCGCTCGCAGTCACCGCCTGCAGCTAGAGACGTCAGCCACTGCTACACCAGCTGCTGCTCTTGCTACTACTACTGATGATGATGCTTTCTCTACTGCTGTGATCACCGTCAACATCGCTGCTGTCACTGACACCGCCGCTGCTGCTGCCACTGCTTCAGCACCCCCAGCTCTCCCCTCCCACACACAGCCCCCCTGCAAGTGACCGCTTCGCGTGGCGAGTGAATGAATGAATGAGCGTAGGCGCGCACTGCCACTGCTGCTGCTGCCACCTTCTCTATTGCTGCTGCTGCTGTTGCTACCGAAGCAACTGCGGCTACCACTAACGATAGCCCCTACCTGCTGCACCACGATGCCGGGTTGCTGTTGCTGCTGTGCGCATTGACGAACCTCGGCACGAACCTCGGCACGTGTCTCCCACGTGACCTTCTCCTCCTCCTCCGCCGCCTTCTGTGCGTGACGCACCCGCGGCTGCCGCTTTATATAGACTCCGAGCCGCGCTCCCATTGGCCCGCGCGCGGAGCCAACTCCCATTGGCTCACGCGCGTCTAGGGGGCGGGGTCTATGCTTCGCCTCTCCTCGGCTCCCTCGCGCGTGTCTCGTGGTGGGGCGTGGTGCAGCTGAACGCTGATTGGCTCCGGTGTGTGTGTCGTGGATGTCGACCAGCTGATCGATAAATACATTTTTTTTTCATTTCATTTATTTGGTAATAGCCCTGTGAGCCATTGGGCTTTTGAATCGGGTGCAACCGCAAAAAATAAAAAATAAAAACATGAACAAGAAAACATCTTAAAGTGACTATGCGTAAACAGAAAAATCCAGGAAAAAACTCCAAAGTCTTCCAGAAAAAAAGCACCATACACCAACGCTGTGCAAAAATACCAGTGGGATGCAAGTCAAACAACAACCACAAGACAACTTAGATTAAAGCCACCATTCTAATCTCCGTAATACAACAAACAAACATGGCCAAACCAAAAAACGTTTTCGAAATCACCAAAATAAAGCCATACGCAATGTAACAGTGATCATAGGAACTGTGACCGAAATTTCACAATAAACGACAAAAAACAACATGTACCACCAAACTCCGCAGCCATAGCTGGCTGCATGAGTCACTCCACAACAGCAGGAGCATCAGTAGGAGTATCAACAAATTTCAAATGCACCTTTAAAGATCAGCACACTATTGTGTGTAGTGAGCGTGGTTCAGCTGATCGCTCATTGGCTCCTTGTGTGTCGTGGATGTATGTCAGTTGATCGCTCATTGGCTCCCGTGTGTGCAGGGGGCATGGTACATCTGTTTTTCATTGGCTCCTTGTGTATAATGCATATAGACCAGCTGATCGCTCATTGGCTCGTTGTGTGTAGTGGATGGAGACCAGCTGATCGCTCATTGGCTCCTTGTGTGTAGTGTATATAGACCAGCCGATCGCTCATTGGCTCGTTGTGTGTAGTGCATATAGACCAGCTGATCGCTCATTGGCTCCTTGTGTGTAGTGTATATAGACCAGCTAATCGCTAATTGGCTCGTTTTGTGTAGTGGATAGAGACCAGTTGATCGCTCATTGGCTCCCGTGTGTGCAGGGGGCATGGTACATCTGTTTCTCATTGGCTCCTTGTGTGTAATGCATATAGACCAGCTAATCGCTAATTGGCTCGTTTTGTGTAGTGGATAGAGACCAGTTGATCGCTCATTGGCTCCCGTGTGTGCAGGGGGCATGGTACATCTGTTTCTCATTGGCTCCTTGTGTGTAATGCATATAGACCAGCTGATCGCTCATTGGCTCGTTGTGTGTAGTGCATATAGACCAGCTGATCGCTCATTTGCTCGTTGTGTGTAGTGGATGGAGACCAGCTGATCGCTCATTGGCTCCAGTGTGTGTAGTGAGCGTCGTGCAGCTTATCACTCATTGGCCCCTTGTGTAGTGGATGTAGACCAGCTGATGTCTTATTGGCTCCTTGTGTGTAGTGGATGTAAACCAGCTGGTCGCTCATTGGCTCCTTCTGTGTAGTGGGCATGACCCAGCTGATCGCTCATTGGCTTCCGTGTGTGCAGTAAGCATGGTCCATCTGATCTCTCATTCGCGCCTTGTTTGTAGTGGATGTGGACCAGCTGATCACTCATTGGCTCCTTATATGGAGTAAGCAGGGACGAGCTGAACTATCATTGGCTCCTTGTGTGTAATGAGGATAGTCAGCTAATCACTCATTGGCTACCTGTGTATAGTGAAAGTGGACCCACTGAAGTCTCATTGGCTCCTTGTGTGCAGTGAGCGTGATCAGCTAATCACTCATTGGCTCCCTGTGTATAGTGAAAGTGGACCCACTGAAGTCTCATTGGCTCCTTGTGTGTAGTGAACGTGATCAGCTAATCGCTCATTGGCTCCCGTCTGTGTAGTGGGCGTGGTTAGCTGACCTTTCATTGGCCCATGTGTGTGTGGTGGGTGTGGCCTGGTCTACTATTGGTTCTTGTTTCTAGTGGGTGTCGTCCAGCCGAACTCTCATTGGCTCATTGTGTGTAAGCGCATGGCCCAGTTGCTCTGATTGGCTCCTGAGGACGGCTGCTTGTGTTGCGGCCAAAACGTCGTGAGAATTATTTTATTATGTTTTATTTTTTATTATTTTATTATTTACATTCTACGTGACTTTACCGAAAGAACCAAGAAGGTGGTGTATACTCTTAGGTTTTATCGGTAAAGTCACGTAGGTAAGAATAAATAATAAACATGAATAATTAAAGGATCGAAATAATAGAAATAAAATAATAAATCAAGAAACAAAATTGTTTCTTGATGTGGTTGTCCCACCTGAAGACGGACACTTGTGTTACGCCCGAAACGTCGTGATTTATTATTTTATTTCTATTATTTCGATCCTTTAATTGTTCATTTTTTATTTTTTATTTTTACCTACGTGACTTTTACCGAAAAAACTAAGAGTGTGAATCCTTGCAGTCACGAAAGCTTCAAATCTAGATATTGTGGTGTAGCCAAGCAGATCTCTGTTGGCTTCTTTTGTGTTCGGTATAACCTGGTTGTGCTCTCATTGGCTACTGTGTGTAGTGGACGTGGATTAGCTGACATCTCATTGACTCCTTGTGTGTGTGTGTGTGAGAGAATCAGAATCTGTATTTAGACGGATTCCTCCAGTCTAAATTTCACCTTAAAATGAAGGTTAAATAAAGTTTTCACCTTGAAGCAAAGGTGAAATTTCCTCCAGTCTAAATTTCACCTTAAAATAAAGGTGAAAAAAGTGTTCACCTTGAAGCAAAGGTGAAATTTCCTCCAGTCTAAATTTCACCTTAAAATAAAGGTGACATTTTTTTTTTACCTTGAAGCAAAGGTGAAATTTCCTCCAGTCTAAATTTCACCTTAAAATAAAGGTGAAAAAAGTTTTCACCTTGAAGCAAAGGTGAAATTTCCTCCAGTCTAAATTTCACCTTAAAATAAAGGTGAAAATTTTTTTTTACCTTGAAGCAAAGGTGAAATTTCCTCCAGTCTAAATTTCACCTTAAAATAAAGGTTAAAAAAGGTTTTCACCATAAAACAAACGTGAAATTTAGACTGGAGGAATCCGATGAGCTATGAAGCTCTTTCTCACACATGTGGAGTTTGGGCGGGTTAGTCGTGGACATGGCCCAGCTGCTCTCTTATTTGCTCTTGTGTGTCGTGAGCGTGGCACAGATGAACAACGTCTGTCGATGGCTGATCGCTTGAGTCTCGTGCCGTCTCTCTCAGTGTAAACATCGCATCGTCACTTGCCCCAAGCTCTTTAAGAAGACGAGTTTACTTTATTCAAACTTTCAAAGTGCTCTTTGTTTGCTTTGTCGTCTGACGGTTTGGACCTATGCTCCGCAATTGTGTTAAGAAAAAAAACACGTGTGCGTGTAGTGTCATAATTATCTGTATCCACATTATAGTACATCAGAATAGAGTATTTATACTGGAGGAAACCAATGAGCTAATAATCTCTTTATCACAGATGTCTCCAGTTGGGGCGAGTGCATTACATGCAGTGTAATTGTGTAGATTTGTGCATTCACAGTGCACGCATATAACTTGCATGCAATGCAATTGGGCGAATTGTATTAATATGCAAGCAATATGCATTACGTTGTGCATAGCTAGATTCTATGCAAATGTCTTATGTCGTGTCATTGGGATATGCATTGCATGCAGTGCATTCGTGTATAGCTGTGCATGCGTGTGCATGCAGTTTAATATGTAATTATAATCGGTGACGTTTCGGGTAATGACCCTTCTCCCTAACAGCGTCGTTGAGTGAAACGTTGCCTATTTTACTCTTAAGGCCACAATGTTATTGTCGAACGTGTTGAAGGTTTTTGTTGTTGTTGCTGCTGCATTATCTGTATTTTTGCACCACTGCCAACGCATCCTCACCGACGCGTGTGTTGTTTGTATGACAGTTGCAGCGCAGGACAGGGACATTTCGCCCTGATTAAAATAAAATTAAAGTGCGTCTTGTTGCACGGTGGTGCGGCACTCACTCTCACCACCGTTGCGTGGCGCTGTGTGCCCTCGTCTCAGCCACTCACGAGCCTCTCGTCTCGCACACCCTGCTGCTCCCCCCCTCCCACTTGCCCGGGCCACTGCAGCGACAACATCACAGATCATCTCATCCTCATCTCGCCCGTTAAGCCTCCATCCCTCCTCCTCCTCGCTCCTCGTCCCTAGCTCGCTCGCTAGCTCGCCACCGTTTAACATCGTCTTACCAGCAACGCGTCGTCGTTGTAAGCCAGTATTATTTTCTTGCCTTCACCATTGCTCTTGTTAACATCGTTCAGAAGGAATGTCGCTTCGGCTATGGGCTAGAACGAATAACAGCAAAGCGCGTTCTATTTTTAGCGGCTATTTATAGCGTTGTCGTTTTAAAACATTGCTTTATTATTATGATGATTAACGTTACGACAACGAGTGGTGTGGAGTGTTGTAGTACCTATAGTCTGCGTGCGCCTATTTAAACGAATGCGACAAGCGAGGCTTCAATCTGCGATGGCAGGCGACAGCGTTGAAGCCCGTGTTGTTTAGGTGGGGCGTAGTGACGCCACATCGCCGTGTTCGTAGCAAGCGGTGAGCTGATAAGTCATCGTAATTGTATCGTAGCAGCAGTGATCGTGACAGCGTCGTTATCCTCATTATTTGAATAGGCGTCAGCGTAAAGTCATTACATACAGTAGCCGCGGTCATATTACAATACTTATTGTATTGCAATATTCATTATCGGATTGTGCCACTATCGATAACAATAATCAGATTAGTATAGTTACAGTGATCAGCTGATAATAATTTATAATATTAATTGTGACAATGCATATTTGATAATGTCATATCGCCTATAAATTAGCTTCATTATTCATCGTCTTCGTTATCATCAATAATATTATTACAGTAGTCATTAGTCACCGATATAGCATAATCATTATTATTATTATTTACATGCATCTATAGCAAGATCACTGGGGTAGTTGTTGCAGAGGCAGTTATTAGTGAGCCTTCAGTCTATCATTATTGTAGTACTACCAGTGCTGGAGTAGTAGCGGTGTAGTTGTCGAGAGTGAGTAGGCTGTCATTACTCTAGCACTACCAGTGCTGTAGTAGTAGCGGTGTAGTTGTAGAGTGAGTAGGCTGTCATTACTCTAGCACTACCAGTACTGTAGTAGTATCTGTGTAGTTGTAGAGTGAGTAGGCTGTCATTACTCTAGCACTACCAGTGCTGTAGTAGTATCTGTGTAGTTGTAGAGTGAGTAGGCTGTCATTACTCTAGCACTACCAGTGCTGTAGTAGTATCTGTGTAGTTGTAGAGTGAGTAGGCTGTCATTACTCTAGCACTACCAGTGCTGGAGTAGTAGTGGTGTAGTTGTAAAGTGAGTAGACTGTCATTCTCTAGCACTACCAGTACTGTAGTAGTAGCGGTGTAGTTGTAGAGAGTGAGTAGGCTGTCATTACTCTAGCACTACCAGTGCTGTAGTAGTAGCGGTGTAGTTGTAGAGTGAGTAGGCTGTCATTACTCTAGCACTACCAGTGCTTGTAGGCGAGCGTGTGCACCATGGCGCGCCTGAGTAACTTCAGCACCTGGGAGCTGTCCAGTGAGGGGGCAGGGCGCGCCGGGAGCCCTCAGGGCGCCTGCGAGACACGCTTCTCAGTGCCCGGGGGGCGCCCGTGTAGCCCCGAGGGCATCGAGGGCTCGCAGCCCAGCCCCTGGCCGTGGGAGAGATTCACGTCGTGGTTGCACAGCATCTGCGTGGTGACGTTTGACCTGGAGCTCGGGCAAGCCATAGAGGTGAGGGTGCATCGCCTGCATCGTGATCATTACACTGGGCAACACACTTCTTTCTGGCATAAGGTATTCCAACGGTTTTAAGGTAATTTTGGGGTGCTGGTTCCAAATCTAGCATCAGTTTTTGTCTATCACATCAGGTTTTTGAGATATCCAAATCAGACTTTCAGAGAGACTTTTGAGGGTATCTAGAAAACATTAAAGGACGTCAGAACATAGAAGCCGATTTCGGAACGGTCCCAAGATTGTTACCAAATTACCGTGATGTAAGATATTCACATCCATTGAGCAGCTTGTTCCAGTCGGTGTCCAGTTGCATAAATCACTCTAAGCGGAGCTTTACACTTAAGTGCAACAGCACGGTACGAAATGTGCATTAAGGGGATAACAAAAAAACACTTTAAGAAAACACCCTGCCAGAGGTCTTAGCGTGCTCCAGTCAACTGAGTTAAGGGGGGGGGATCACAAGACCAGATACAGATGGCAGCACCAATAACACTGGTCAACACACTTTTTCTGGCATAAGGTATTCCAACGGTTGCAAGGTAATTTCTGGGTGCTGATTCAAATATTGTAATTTCAATTAAAAACTGCAGGAGAAAAATATTAAATAAATGTGCATATCTACATAAAATGATATTATAAACACACTATCCTAAAAATACAGCACCATATTTTAACACTAAAGCAGTCACTGACTCGAAATAACTTGCAATCATAAGTGACAGAGTTAATTTCAGGTAAAATCAATGAAAATGGGGTATGCCGATAGCATAAAAATGAGATGTGATAAAGCAAATCTGAGATAAGATTTGGAATCAGCACCCTGAAATTAGTCTAAAACAGCTGCAAAAGTCCAGGCCAGAAAAAAAATGTTTGTTGTTGACCAGTGTTATTAGTGATTCGCTGTCGCCACCACCACCGTCATGGACACACACTATTCCTCTCATAATCATTATCGTTGGTGTACCATCATCACATTCATCATTGAAACAATTACTACGAGCCTACTTCCTTTGCTTAGAACGGGTTTGTTTTCTTTCCCCCGCACCTCCGAAAGAAGTTCAACATGCATACTTTCACCATCATCATTATTGGTACAACATCACCACGGAAATGACTGATACACCGTCACCACTATCTTCATCATCATTACTAACTAAACCATCACCAGTCATCGTTAATACATCATCATAGTTGATACATAACGACTGTGTCACCACTGTTATCTTCACTTTTGCAAAAATCATCTCTGTTATCATCTTTACTTTCACATTGACAGTTGCAGCTCTCACCTGTGTTGTCAGTGTTGCCTGTACCATGAACATGATGAATGACACTCACATCGCACACGCTCACACAGTGATTACAACATCCGGCATCACCTTAATCACCACTCATCAATGAAACTCTCAAGGGAGGGGTGTCCAGAGGTTCCTTGTTAGCTTGGTAGTTGTCATGCTTTCTTCCGAATACATGTTTTAGTGTAACTTAAGTATGTTGTTTTAAATGTGATGTGTGCAAACAGCATCAATTGTGTTACATATCAAGGGGTTTCCAATGATTATACGGTGATTCTGTTTAGGCTCTGTAGATATTTAAACGAAACCTTTTCGTAAGCTTTACTACCTTAATTACATTTTCCTCTTTTCAGCTCATCTATCCACCACATGCCAAACTCACCGAAAAAGAGGTGGGTGCATTTGTTATAAGCGTACACAATTGGTTTTTATATTTATAACACTATTGTCCATGCCGCAGCACAGTATTTTTAAAGAACACGTGCGATTACCTTGTATCTGATGCAGAAAATGAACGTCTGCTACCTGGCCTTCCCGGACTCCAACTCAGGTAGAATTCACAAGTGATGAGAACCACACACGTGCAGTAGGGTGCCTTAGTTAGTAAAACACTGCCCGACTCCTCAACCAGGCAACTACGTACAGACATCAGAGAAGTGGGATCCGCCTGTTGGCACAAGATTAGGGGACCTTTTTCCACGAAATATTTGCATAGAAATCAAGTGTCTTCACTTTTTCTTTTATTTTAAAGAGGAGACAAAACTAACTTTCAAATGCAAGTTGGTGATGTTACTTTGACTGTGGTGCACACGCACAACCAAGGAATCTAACATTCATCAACGACACTGCCTTTAAATAAAAACATATAGAATCGGCGACGTTTCAGGCAATGGCCCTTCTGTATAGCACATAAGAGAGCGATGAAGAAGGAACATTTGCCGAAACGTCACCGGCTATATATTTTATATTTTAAGGCCGCGTTGTTGTTAAATATTGCATTGAGTTATTGTGTCTTTTAAAATTACAGTCACAGCCAATAATCATGCACAGTTAACCATGGATTAATTCAAGTACTAGTACAGGAGATTGAACGTTCTGTTACCTCTGAGGGACTCCTTTTGTACAGGTACAAACATCTTATCCTATATAGATTAATATCGCGCCTTATTCCAAGGTGCTTTACAGCAATTCTAGAATTGTACGTAAGATGATAGAGGTTGAGATACAGAGTGGGGTTAAGAAAAGTGGTGGTGTAGTTATGGTGACAGGAGAACAGGCGGGAGCAGTCAGGGAGGGGTTGTGGTCCGGCTGGTCGTAGCTGCAGTCACGGGGAGGGAGGATGGGCTTTTAGGCAGGTGAGTGAAGATGATGTCAGGTGCAGTGGGAGTTTGTTCCAGTGAACGGCAGCAAGAAGGGGAAAGAAACGAAAGCGTGACTGGGATAATGGGATATTATGCTGATTGATTGGGTAAAGTCACGTAGGTAAAAACATAATAATATAATAATAATAATAATAAATGAAAATAACTAACTTAAATCACGACGTTTCGGAAGCAACACAAGCCTCCGTCATCAGGTGTAACTGCTCCAGTAAAATTACTTCACACGCTGCAGTAATTTTACTGGAGCAGTTACACCTGATGACGGGGGCTTGTGTTGCTTCCGAAACGTCGTGGTTTAATTGAGTTATTTTCATTCATTATTATTTTATTTTATTTGCATTATCTATTTTTACCTACGTGACTTTACCGAAAAAAACCTAAGAGTGTGAATCCTTGCAGTCACGAAAGCTTCAAATCTAGAATGATCGATTGGGGGTGCGGATAGTGGAAGTATCAGATTCTTCACGGCTTCGGACGAGAGGAGTTTCACAGCGGTAACAACAGGCAATGTGTTTTTCGATTTAAAGCTTTCGTGACTGCAGAGATTCATCTTCTTGGTTCTTTCGGTAAAGTCACGTAGAATGGAAATAACAAAATAATATTTATTATGTTTTATTTTTATTATTTGGTTATTTCCATTCTACGTGACTTTACCGAAAGAACCAAGAAGATGAATTTATGTTTTATTTTTATTATTTTGTTATTTCCATTCTACGTGACTTTACCGAAAGAACCAAGAAGATGAATTTATGTTTTATTTTTATTATTTGGTCATTTCCATTCTACGTGACTTTACCGAAAGAACCAAGAAGATGAATTTATGTTTTATTTTTATTATTTGGTCATTTCCATTCTACGTGACTTTACCAAAAGAACCAAGAAGATGAATTTATGTTTTATTTTTATTATTTGGTTATTTCCATTCTACGTGACTTTACCGAAAGAACCAAGAAGATGAATTTATGTTTTATTTTTATATTTGGTCATTTCCATTCTACGTGACTTTATCGAAAGAACTAAGAAGATGAATTTATGTTTTATTTTTATTATTTGGTCATTTCCATTCTACGTGACTTTACCAAAAGAACCAAGAAGATGAATTTATATTTTATTTTTATTATTTGGTTATTTCCATTCTACGTGACTTTATCGAAAGAACCAAGAAGATGAACAGGCATTGTGTGTTTCTAACACAGGTTGCCACGGCGACACGCAATTCAGCTTCCGATTTCGGCGGTCGGCTTGCTGGAAGGCGTCGCCACGCAACGCACACGGGCGGCCAGACGAGCAGCACCTGCCTACGCTGCTCCAGGTACGAAGATCCTCAACTCTGCGACGTTTTATCGTCGGTCTTCACACACCGACGATGAACGCGATCACCCATTGACTTGCACCCACTCATCTCATCGAGCTCATTCATCCCGGGCAGGTGAGAAGGAGTTGACGCCGAGCTAAGGCGTGAGCATGGACTTCATCACATCTTTTTTCGATTTAAAGCTTTCGTGACTGCAGGGATTGTTGTGGCCGAAACGTCGTGAGAATTATTATATTATGTTTTATTTTTATTATTTTATTACTTCCCTTCTACGTGACTTTACCGAAAGAACCAAGAAGATTCATCACATCTTCAACACTCCAGGGAATTACTCCGTTCAGACGCTGCCCCGATCCCCTTCTGTCCGCTCCTTTGATCCTCTTTTCCGTTCTCGAACTTTCCCGACTCTCCACCAATCCCCCCCCCCTTTTTGTTTCTCCAAACGGTCCCCCAAAAAACCCCTCAGTTTGTATTGAGTTGTTTCAAATTGACCGTGACGACCCAACAGATTTTGAATGTTTCGATTTAAAGCTTTCGTGACTGTAGGGATTCATCATCTTGGTTCTTTCGGTAAAGTCACGTAGAAGGGAAATAATAAAAAATAAAACCTGAAGACGGCTGCTTGCGTTGTGGCCGAAACGTCGTGAGAATTGTATTTTATTATGTTTTATTTTAATTATTTTATTATTTCCCTTCTACGTGACTTTACCGAAAGAACCAAGAAGAAGATTTTTAATGTTTCTCCACCTTCCCATCAGATTGATTGTGCACCCTACGTTGGCACCTTCTGTGATAGCTCCTTGCCAATGAGAGTCGAGCGCGCTATTTGAACTCACAAGCCGGTAGACGCGGTGATGATTATTTAGTAATTCATTGAAAGGGTTCACCTCTCGGCGTCCCTTAACACTGGTACTGGACCACAGTCTCCACGAAGCTCACTCGGCACTCCTTGCCACTCTATACACTCATTCTCTGATGCGATCATTCACGGCCTTGCACTGGCCTATCTCGTGGAAATCGTACTTCATACAGCTCATCTCGGGAGCTACGATCACCCGACTCCCATCATCAAACCCTTCCGGCTTCTATTGGTTGCAGGGTTCGGCATTATATTGGCTCTGAACAATGTATTCGAGATTTGAAGCTTTCGTGACTGCAAGGATTCATACTCTTAGGTTTTTTCAGTAAAGTCACGTAGGTAAAAAATATAATTAAAATTAATAAAAGTAATAATAGAAATAAAATAAAATAAAAAATCACTTACTTTTATTAATAAAAAAATAAAATTAATAAAAGTATTAATAGAAATAAAATAAAAAATCACTTACTTTTATTAATAAAAAAATAAAATTAATAAAATTAATAATAGAAATAAAATAAAATAATAAATCACTTACTTTTATTAATAAAAAAATTAATTTACAATTAATAAAAGTAATAATAGAAATAAAATAAAATAATAAATCACTTACTTTTATTAATTTTATTTTTTACCTACGTGACATTACTGAAAAAACCTAAGAGTCTGAACAATGTAGTCATGCCCTCCTTCGTTTGGCGTTAAGTTAGGCCTCAAATATGGCTTCTTCGGGAAGAATTCTTATTCAGCACGGACTTACGAGCTTTGTGGATAATTGGCACATGCTCTGCGATAATGTGTGAGGAACGGGGTCCCACTATAAGTTACCTTGGAGTGGCTTTTTGACTCAAGACATGAGGGACAACATTGGAATTGTTTGACAAGCACACATAACAAAAACCACTTTCCATGTTCGTCATTAACACTGCCTTGTTAAAGGTACCACGATCTCCATAAAGCCTTATTCTGAGACCGAACCTAACTCGCTCTGTCGCGTTAAGGCAGTGTCAATGACGACAGAGCGATTGACTGATGACAGTCAGAGACTACACGTTATGGCGTGGCACTTTAAAGACCTGAAGAGAGCTGACATGCAACATTGAAAGATGAACACTTTTCCACGTCAGCAGTTTTGGTTTTTAAGTTCAGCATTCACGCCAGCTCTTTTTGTTGCTTGCGATGTGATTTCTGCACCGTTGACAAAGTCACCCGAAATGCACAGAGCTCAAAAGCCGAGGAGGGTTGAAGCATGGATTGTGCTCGCATGAGCGCCCGCTACGCACTACAAGGCATTACAGGGTGCGGTGAAGCAGCTGCCGGCTCGTTCAGTGCCGGATTCTCCTAGTAGCAAAAGTAGCTACTACAGATGTAGTAGCTACAGATGTAGTATATACTGTACATAAGTAGCTACTATATCTGTAGCTGACACTTTCAAGGGCTCTGCGCTAAATGCTTTCAAGCTATCAATTCCAGTTTAGTGATTCTGCACTTGTTCTATTACTATAGTACTATACTGCCTTCAACTTTTACGAACGACTGGGTGTTTAAGGTTAGATATTTGTCATATTACCTGGCTGTATAGCAAATTAAAAAATACAATTACTTTACTATGCAAGTAAAACATTTGTATTTTAATATTTACGTGGTTTTTATTTAATTTAGGGCCCCTTTATAACATATGCTACAGGCCTCGCACTATTCTTTGGGTCTTTCGGTAAAGTCACGTAGATAGGTTAAAAGAAAATGACAAAAAAAAACTACGACGTTTCGATCGCAACACAAGCGGTCGTCATCGGGAAGAGGGGGGTCACCTTCTAAGGACAACTGTTTATAAAGGTTTAAAATGGGCGTAGCCCAAATGTCAGCAGCCAATGCTAATGTAATTGGTGGGCAGCGACTGCGACGGTGGTGGGTTTTCCACCAATCAAAGGGCTGCCAGGTAAACATTTGCATGTTAATGTAGTGTGAGAAAATTAACCTGTTAATGTAAAATCAGAGAGACGAAAATAACAACTAACATCGGAAGGTGGTAGGATGGGAACATCACAGCCAGTTATGACCTAAACTGGTTAATAACGTCCTTCCAATGATTCCTCAGTTTGTACCCATCTTCTCGGTGGAAATTGTGTCTGTGTCAGTATATGTGGATGGCTTCATGAACGAATCTTTGTTGATAGCCAGTGGGTTTGCAAAGTACCCTCATCTTAGAGAAATGAATTTCGTTGCAAAGAATATGAATTCCTGCAGTCACGAAAGCTTTAAGTCTAGAAGGCCCAGCACTAGCTTAATCCGGCACTGGGCTCGTTTCATCAAGCAGAGGGCAGTGCATAAACATCCATTGTCGATTCGTACGGTGCTCCAACGGACCGCACTCGCCGCCGGCCTTCACACCAACCCGCACTGACCGGCGTGGTGAAGTATGGTCAAATAACTCTCACGTGGGGAGGCCCTCGCTCAGCGGTGGAATTTTTTCTTTTTTACAAATGACCTCTGCGCGGCACATATTTTAAACGATCATGCACAGCGTTGAGAGCTTTGGAGTTGATGGCAAAAGCGTGGAGTCAAGTGGGCTTGAGCCACGGTGCTGGGGGTCACTCTCCCCCACCCCCTCTCCCACCCGTGCGTGCGTAGAGCGACCCTCACTTTCTCTACGGCTACGTCTACTTTCGTCAAGTGAGAGACAAGAGCCTGCGCCGGGGCTACTTCCAGAAGGTGCGTTCAGCAGTGCGTCTAGACGCGAGGCGTCGGAGCCCAAGTTCAGCGTGCCTCTAGACGCGAGGTGTTCGGAGCCCAGGTTCAGCGTGCGTCTAGACGCGAGGCGTCGGAGCCCAAGTTCAGCGTGCCTCTAGACGCGAGGTGTTCGGAGTCCAGGTTCAGCGTGCGTCTAGACGCGAGGCGTCGGAGCCCAAGTTCAGCGTGCGTCTAGACGCGAGGTGTTCGGAGTCCAAGTTCAGCGTGCGTCTAGACGCGAGGCGTTCGGAGCCCAGGTTCAGCGTGCCTCTAGATGCGAGGCGTTCGGAGCCCAGGTTCAGCGTGCCTCTAGATGCGAGGCGTCGGAGCCCAAGTTCAGCGTGCGTCTAGACGCGAGGCGTTCAGGAGCCCAAGTTCAGCGTGCGTCTAGACGCGAGGAGTTCGAAGCCCAGGTTCAGCGTGCCTCTAGACGCGAGGCGTCGGAGCCCAAGTTCAGCGTGCCTCTAGACGCGAGGTGTTCGGAGCCCAGGTTCAGCGTGCGTCTAGACGCGAGGCGTTCGGAGCCCAAGTTCAGCGCCCGTAAAGTCTTCTGCCGGGCAAGCTGTGACCAAGAGGACCCGATTTGTGTGCAGCTGCCCCAGTGAACTCAAGGAATGTATCGGATCTTAATCATCTTGAACAGGACTGGTTATTTGCTGGCCGCTTTTTTGCCCTTTCCTTTAGCCTTTTTGACCTGTGCTCAGCTTCTGCCATTTGAAATAACCAAAAAAAGGCACTGAAGGTGTATTTGTTTAACACGTAGCCTTTCGCAATCTAACCCAAAAAACCTCAATTATGGATGAAGGCGTATTGTTAAACTCGCCGTCAGCCATTGTCTATCCGACTGCCGGATGGATGCCTCCACAATCTCGTCGCCGTCTCTCAAGCCCAGCGCTGCTTACATTCCTCTCGCTCCTCCTGCACGTGGACATCCTTTTCAATCAACCTCGTAATGAACCAAGTGGACGGTTGCATGACACATAGCCGTGGCAGAGAGGCAGCATCTGTGCAGCACTGCCGGGTGTCTCGTGAATTGTAAGTTTGCTTGCAAAATTAACCTGGTTCTACCCGCAAGTCCAGCTCGTTGATTCGGGTTTTTAAGGATTCGCCTCCCGCAGGAATTCCATGAATTGTTGGGATTCTGGGCCCCGATTCACCTCATGAATCCTGGGTTTTATTTCGTCTCGTTGCTATTGTTTCCGTTGTATAATTTCTAATGATTTGGTTCTTTCGGTAAAGTCACGTAGATAGAAAAAATAATAAAAATAAAATTTAAAAAATCACGACGTTTCGATCGCAACACAAACGGTCGTCATCAGGAGAAGGGGGGGGGGGGGTGACGACCACTTGTGTTGCTATCGAAACCATCGTGGTTTTTCATATTTTATTTTTATTATTATTTTCTATCTACGTGACTTTACCGAAAGAATATGAATTCTTGCAGTCACGAAAGTTTTAAGTCAAAATGTAATTTCTAATTGTGCATTACCCCCCTGCCCCCACACACACACAAACGCATGCCCTCAGTCAGTGGTGCTCCTGACCCGCCTGCCCTACCTGTGCCTCTACTCCGCCGTGGTCCGCCTCATCGCCCCCGAGTACTTTGACAAGTTGGAGCCCTGCATGGAGGCTGGTGGGTGTCCCGTTCCCCACCCCCGTCTCTCCCCGCCTGGAGCTGTTGCCCACACCCGCGTGCTCCCGTGTGACCGCATCCTCCGTATTATGAGACTCTCCGCAAAATAAGACGCGTCCCAGAAGAACTTGTGCTCCGGTGTCTTTTAACGTAATTCGAGTCTGGTTACCCACACGCACACCGCACGCTCACCGCACACTGAAATATAAGACGCGCCCTCGGCTTTTGCTTTCAATTGCAGCGATTAGAATTGGGCCCGGTATTCTGGACAATACGGTATACGTGGCAGCTGTATCGTCTTACAACACGTGGCAGCAAGGAGTGCTGAACTGATTGCAGTTTAAAAAAAATCAGTGATCACGTTACACGAGCCATCATCTTCTGCACTATTGCGGCCAAAAACTCTAAACGCATGTTGATTCTAAATGTGGAGGGAAAACCCGGAGGACCCGGAGAAAAAAAATCCACACGACCACGGGAAGACCATGCAAACTCCAAATACACAGGCGTCGGGATCGAACCCACAACCTCCTGCATGCCAGGCAAGGGAGTTAACATTTCGCCATCACAGCAAGATGGCAGCCCTCTTGCTGCGTTAACGAGATATTGCAGGGCTGCCCCCTTTACCACCTCTCACGATACACACAGAGTCCTGTATGTGAAGTCTTAATGCATGAACATTCACCACTGCCTTGTGATTGGGTTAGGGATGCTCTTCAGTGTCCTGTGAGTGCTCTAATCGTTCTGATACGCCTGTCCGTGCCCTTCCGCTGAAGTGAATAGAGCCAGGCGACATCGAGCAACATATACTCAGCCGCACAAAATCATAAATGTCTAAATGCTGCATTACTAATGCATGCATACGCACATGAATATATAGTGAGTACTACCAAATGTAGTTTTAATATGTTTTAATATTTATAAAGTCAAACATTGAGCAATACTTTAGAGATAAATAGTGTCCATTAAAATGTTTTAATATTAAACTCACACAGGATAAGCCCAGAAGCAGCCAGTTGAAAGAGACTGACGTTCGTTTTTGTTTATTTACTTCACTTTTACCTGATGGCTGCTGCACTACAAAGTGAAAAATTAGCTGCCTGTGATTTGTCGTTTTATTTATTCTTTGAAGCAAATAACGCGAGAGTATGCGTAGGTACGGAACAAAAGTGTCGGTATTACCGCTAAACCCTAAAACCCCGAGAAGGCGAGCAAGGATTGACGAATGGGGGGGCTAGGAGATGTTAACTACCTCGCCTGGTACACAGGAGGTCGTGGGTTCGATCCCGATCCTGACACGCCTGCTGCTGTATATTTGGATTGTGAGTGTCTCTCTCTCCCCGTGGTCGCGTGGATTTTTCTTCGGGTCCTCCGGTCTTTACCTCCAACATTTAGAATCAACATCACACGTTTAGAGTATTTGGCTGCTAGAATTGTTCACGCGATAAGCCACTTCGTTGAGCCATCATTTGTGGTCAAGTCTCTTCTGATAAACAGCTATATAGCTCAGTGGGCCTTACCTGGTAAATAAAATAGTTCAAATTTAGATTTAAAGCTTTCGTGACTGCAGGGATTCATATTCTTGGTTATTTCGGTAAAGTCACGTAGAAGGGAAATAATAAAATAATATAAATATAAAACAATAAAAATTCTCACGACGTTTCGACTGCAACACAAGCAATCATCAACAGGTGTGAAATCCACGGAAAGAATGTTTTTATTGTTTTATATTTATATTATTTTATTATTTCCCTTCTACGTGACTTTACTAAAATAGTTTCGTTTACAAAATTTTTTTTAAGTATCATCATCGTCAGTTACTGGATATCGCAACCTCACAACAGTATACAACAAATTTTGGTCCAACCCCGGAATAAACGTGTCGTGGGGAGACCTTCACCCAGCAGCCGAGATTCTGTGGTGTTCTATTGGTGGGAGTCGTGGCCAGATTTACGTCATTCCACTCATTCCTCTTCACGTGGAGCACGGCCAAACATAAATAAGTAGTAAATAAACAACCAAACCACAACGTCCCTTGCCCAGCAAGACGCCTCTTAGGAGGGCGCTGCAATCACATAATTGACCAATTCCTCACTGAGTGCCCTTCATGTAAGAGGAAATCGGAGGACTGCGCATGCAAAATGCCCGCGCGTACAAGAAGATAACGTTGCAAAGTCTGCACCGATTGGTCAGGGAACCTTCTTCCTGTACTGCACATCTCCTGGTTACCTCGCAGCCCAGTGGGTCAGGAGTCTCACAGCACAGAATCAGATCGGCCCGGTTTCATCGCGTCCGCGTAAGCGACGAAGCTAAGAAATCACATCGGCCGGCCTACGTAAAACCACAGCACCGACCGGCAGCTCTGGATGATCAAGAGATAGCGTGAGCTGCTCCCAGCATGCGGAGCGAAACGTCGGACATCGTCGTGCCTAACAACGCGGGGTGCGACTCGAAAACAAATCGGAGAGCTCCACCGAGCACCCTGCTTCTAAGCGCCGGGTTGCGGACAGGCAAATTCGCCAACTGTGCCCGGCAGGAAAACAAAAAATTCAGGTCACAGAGCATCCACCCAACGCTGGGCTAAATCCCACAATTCGCCAGCTGTTGTTGGTGAGCGTGTGAGTGTGCGTGTGGGGAGCAGTGGCGTAGTAGTTAGCACGCTGCACCACGAACCTGGCGACCCGAGTTCGATTGCCGCTCGTGGGCAATACCAGTGACGGTTATCTGAACCGCTTCTGGGCCTTCCCCATGTCGACTCACACCTTAAATGAGTGCCCGCTGCGGTGTGTAAACAGCACTGGCGAGACAAAGGTGGCCGGGCGTGGTGCCGGCCACCCATCCCCACGTGTGCCACGCGTGTGTTTGTTGCGTGAGTGTGTGAGCAGCTTGCAATGACATTGAGCGCTGGCCGCCACTCGTGGCAGGGAAGACGCTCAGCCTGCCGATCATGGGGGTCGTCATCCAGGTGAGGCATCTCATTTTTCTCCACCAATTTCCCACAAAAGCCTGACTAGGCCGGCAATGCGGGCCAAGCCGCAGCGGTTCGCGGTTCGAATCCAGCGGCCGCCCTGATTAATACTGCGGTGGTGTGTAACAACCGTAAGACTGCACGCCGTCTGCTTCGCAATGCTGCTTGCCTGAAGAAGAGAGTTTTCAGTCGGTACATATTGCCAGCCGCACCTCCGATTAGCACGGTTGGCTACGTGTGATGCGAAAGGAGTTCGACACGCGTACATGCAGCTGTCATGTATGGATCAGGACTTTGAAAATTGACGTGAAAAATAAATTCTAGATTTGAAGCTTTCGTGACTGCAAGGATTGATACTCTTAGGTTTTTTCGGTAAAGTCACGTAGGTAAAAAATAATAAAAATAAAATAATAAATGAAAATAAATCAATTAAATCACGACGTTTCGGAGGCAACACAAGCTTCCTTCATCAGGTGTAAAAGGGCACAGCAAAATAACTGTACTACAGTTATTTACACCTGATGAAGGAAGCTTGTGTTGCCTCCGAAACGTCGTGATTTAATTGATTTATTTTCATTTATTATTATTTTATTTTTATTATTTTTTACCTACGTGACTTTACCGACAAAACCTAAGAGTATGAAAAATCAAACAACCCTCGAACAAATTACACCGAAAGACGTAAAGAGGGGGCACATGTATCGGAGAACGATCATCGTGGCTGTTCAAGAAATAAAACTGGGGGCGAGAACGATCGCCAGGCGAGATGATGGTTGATGGACGAGACCGGTGATGGAATGGCGACAAAGGAGAAGAAGACGGCTGAGAGGATGACCGTCTAGAACAGGGGCGGGGAACCTTTATTCTGCCAAGGGCCATTTGGATATTTATGACATCATTCGCGGGCCACACAAAATTATCAACTTAAAAATTAGCCCGTTATATTTGGTCAAACATTTAATTAACGCACCCCTAATGTGATGGCTGGTATTGATGATGTTGCTACTCGCAACTGCTTTTCCAGGTTTGCTCCTAGATTTATTAAATTTCGAGTTCCGCCTGTGGTTGCCTTGGCAGGGCCACACCAAATGATTTCGCGGGCTTTACACGGCCCGCGGGCCGGATGTTCCCCACCCCTGATCTAGAATATGGAGAAATGAGATCAGTGCGGTGAGAATGCAATGGTTTAATAGCATTGCAGCACCACTGGAGACAGAATTGGCATGGGGAGGCCTTCATCCAGCAGTGTATAGACCATGGCTGCTGATGAAATTTCACACGTGATGTTTTGCCCATACCATTAGCATGTTGTGGTCCTCTCGTGCGAATTAACGTCACGGGGGTATTTTATGTCCACTTTGTGACAATGGTGGTTTGTTTGCCATGTGCTCCTTTACGAACCGGCCGGACGTTTAGGTGAGGATCCCGACTCGCAACGAGAAGTTGGGAGCAGCTCCGCTCAAGCAAACCCCAACGGAGGTACGTATCAGGGTCGCCCCTCTCCGTCAACCGTTGTGTCGGGACACCCGTGAAAGGAGACTGATGTTCAGCATGTGCGTTGAACTTCGTTCGCACCGTGCGTAGCCAACCGCGCTGATCCGTAGGTGTGGGGCAAGGACAGCAGAAAGCCGTTCTCAAGAAATGGGTTTTCAATCTAGAATTTGATAATTGTTTTTTTACCCTTCTATCTGGCAACATAACTGACACCTTTTTTCCAAGGAGTTATGTTTGCATAGACCATGTCTATGCAAACACCTTTTTTACAAGGAGTCATGTCTATGCAAACATGACTCCTTGTAAAAAAAGGTGTCAGTTTTGTTGCCAGATAGAAGGGTAAAAAAACAATTATAATATTTTTTACTGGTAAATGAGGTTCCAATAATCTAGAATTTTTAAATGTCTAATTGTCACTCTCGGCAAAGAAGGAGTGAGCCGGCTCTCATGCCCATTGGGGCTCTCGAGCCGGCGGTGGAAATTTCACGTTTCTATGGCAGGTGCTCTTCTCCTCCATAATATAGTTTTTTTTGTGTACCCAAAAAAAAACCCCAAAATCCCCCCAAAAAAACCCCAAAAACCTGTAATATGAATGCTATTGGCCGCGAAAGCTTACGTGTTAAACTGGCCATCTCCTGTTTATGGTTCTGAGTCGTTGGTCAGCGGCGAAAATTCCGTACCCGAATGGCGAGGGTTGAGTGTTAATTGGATGACCGCTGTTGACTTCCCACGAAGCAATACTCGTGATATATACCCTGGACAAATGACCGGTTGAGTTGACCCCTGACCTGGACTTGAAACTTTCAATGCTTTAGCTTATGAGTCAAGTCCTCGAGCCACAACAACGCCAGGTAGGATTCAATATTCAGTGGCTTCATCAAGCGAGCACTCGGACATTGTTCACATCCCCACGGTGGAGACCTTTCCTTCCAAAGGACGACCAGAGTCAGATTCATTTTGATGGAGACCATGAGTTAATAAACTCTAGGGGGTTATCTTCATATATATAATTAATTTCCCTTTAATTTTTGTACCACCAGCCATGTCTATTGCCAAACGCAGTTTCGTTATTCACCTGAGTCATTTTCAGTTCTCGTTTTTTTGTGTGCTATTTTGCTTTTGGCACATACCCGGTAGTAATACGCACGGTGATGCTGAAGCTTCTATTACCAAATTACGCCGCATGATTTATGATAGTGCCACAGTATTGAATTTCAATCTAATCTAATTACATTTCATATTTATAGAGCACCCTTCACTCAAGGCGCTTGACGTAGTTTAAGCAACGGTGACAGACTATAATTCTTTATATATAGCAAGGGGCATACAAGGATTGAAGAATGAGGGGCGCCACGGTGGCCAGGAGATGTTAACTACCTCGCCTGGTATACAGGAGGTCGTGGGTTCGATCCCAACCCTGACACGCCTGCTGTATATTTGGAGTTTGTCTCTCTCTCCGTGGTCGCGTGGATTTGTCTTCGGGTCCTCTGGTCTTTGCCTCCACATTGAGAATCAACGTCACCACGCGTTTAGAGTATTTTGATGCTGTAAATGTCCACGTGATAAGCCACTTCGTTGAGCTATCATTTGTGGCCAGGTCGCTTCTGAAAAAATAGCTGTAGATCTCAGAGGGCCTTATACCTGGTAAAAATAAGTCGTCTCTCTCTGCTTCTGTGTCTGTTTGTGTGTACCTGAAGACGATTGCTTGTGAGCAATTGAAACGTCGTATTCTATTATTTAATTTATTTTCTTTCTACATGACTTTTCCGAAAGAACCAAAGAGTAATTTAATACATTTAATTTAATACATTTAATCAATACAATTTACATACAGGGGTGGACTAGAGCAGCGTTGGTTGGGGCGCTTTGCAAAACTACAGGGTGCTTCAAAAAAATGTAATACTTACATGAAAAAATCTTTTTAATGGAAAAAGAACGGATAATACACTGTAACATGATAACAAATGTAACGTTAATAGCTTCCAAAAGTCAGAGTCTCCACTTGCTCGCCATCATTGCCAACGCGTGCCTGGAATCTTCTCCAGGTGGTCTCCAGACGCCGGGAGCCAGCACATTTCTTGTGGCGTTGTTGCAAATTCTCAGAAGCGTTGACATTTTTTTTAAAGCACCCTGTACCTTTGACCATGAAAAGCGACGCACCAAGTGCGTCCGAAGGAAGGGAGATGTCATTCAGCGCCCATTGCCCGCTCCGCAATACGGATCAAAACCACGGACACTGACTACGCGTGGAACAAAAGCGGAGAGGCTTCAAGTTTCATTTATTAGGTATAGCCCTGTGAGCCATTCGGCTCTTGAATCGGGTGCAACTGCTTGAACGGGCGCAGCCTTGTAAGTTAACACCGACAGGCCAGGACAACACTGGGTCAGAGAATAACAACACGAATGAACCGCTTCAGGTCCTACCCACTCACCGACCGGCGCTGCTCACCACGGTGAGGTTATGGTTCAGGTGACCCCCGCGAGCCACGAGGTCACGGGGACGCCTTCATCTGCGCACGAGATGCACCGTCCTGTTCTTGGCGTACAGAGAGATATCTCAGTCGCCCTCCTGCTATCAAATCCTTTATATTAAGTTCGCTTGCTTGCTTGCTTGCGTGCTTGCGTGCTTGCTTGCTTGCTTACGATCGTGCAAATCTTTCGGTCGTTTTTTAACCCACTTCCCGTGATCCAATCGAGCTGGCATTTTCCACACAGACTCGTTGTGCGTGACAATTAATTTTCGTGAAAAAAAAATTCCTAAATTTTACACTGTTTATGAAAAAAAAACATATTTAATTACCAATTGCTTAATGCTGCCAGACAATCATCTGACCCATAGGTGGCAGCCATCTCAAGCCAGAGGACGAGAGGACTCTAGCCGCCACGCATATAAAGGATTTATAGTGAAAAAGTTTGTTTTTACGGGTTAATTTTTTTTACTATTTTAAATGCCTGAACCTGCGCGTGTATTTCTCACTTGGCCGACCGCTGACGTTTTCTGACGGACTGTGCCCGCAGAATCTTCTTCCGGCTCCGCTGGTGCTCCCAACCGTCCACGAACCCGACCTCTTCAGGTACCCCATCGTCTCAGCGGCGTGGTCTGCGCACTTGAACTTACGCGCGTTTGCATTTTGCTATTCAGCCTGTGCATGATATCTAAAATTAAATTATTTGCTCAATATTTATTTTATATATTTTTTCATGTACTGCTGTACTTACCTTTCTCGTGCTGGCCGTTGCGCACGGTTGCACTTGAACTTTACGCACAGTTTGCAGTTTGATTTGCTCAGTCGGTGATAGCCGCTGAGGGCGTCACGGTGTCTCTCTGCCACTCCGATCGCTCCGTGCCCCCCTAAATCGTTTCCCGTTCGGTTTTCCTGCCTCTCGGTGTAATTGGCACCGATGCCGACTTTATTTGGTGGGTGGCAGGGGGGGCAGCGATATTGGCACGTAAAATAAAGACCGATTGATTCCACCCCACATCGCTTTCAGAACAACTGAGACAGGGAAGCCTTCACGGACGACGATGATGATGATGATGACAATAATAATTAATATTCTTGGTTCTTTCGGTAAAGTCACGTAGAAGGGAAATAATAAAATAATAAAACCAAAACATTATAAAATTCTCACGACATTTCGGCCACAACGCAAGCAGCCGTCCTCAAGTGAGAATTTAATTATGTTTTATTATTTTATTATTTCCCTTCTACGTGACTTTACCGTAAAATAAGTATAACCGGTAAAAACTAAGTTTTTCACTATAAATCCTTTATATGCGTGGCGGCTAGAGTCCTCTCGTCCTCTGGCTTGAGATGGCTGCCACCTATGGGTCAGATGATTGTCTGCCAGTATTAAGCAATTGGTAATTAAATATTTAATTTGTTTTCCCTAAACAGTGTAAAATTTTGGAAAAAAAATTTCACGAACATTAATTGTCTCGCACAACGAGTCTGTGTGCAAAATGTCAGCTCGATTGGTTCACGGGAAGTGGGTTAAAAAACGACCGAAAGATTTGCACGGTCCTAAGCAAGCAAGCACGCGAACTTAATATAAAGGATTTAAAAGCAAGAATATGAATCCCTGCAGTCACGAAAGCTTTAAATCGAAAAATAAAAATGTATTTTAATTTGTGCCCCCCCCCCCCCCAAGGGCATTGTCCCCAGTGCTGCCGCACGTGCAGCTGCTCTGGGAGTTGGTGCTGCTCGGTGAGCCGCTCGTCGTCATGGCGACGTCGCCGAGCGTCACGTCCGACAGCGTGCTGGCGTTAGTCAGGTGACCTACGACCTCCCAACTCGACCCACACACCTGTCAAGCCCATTGACTTACTTGCTTATTCTTCGTTTTGATTTAAAGCTTTCGTGACTGCAGGGATTCATCTTCTTGGTTCTTTCGGTAAAGTCACGTAGAAGGGAAGTAATAAAATAATAAAAATAAAACATAATAAAACAATTCTCACGACGTTTCAGCCACAACGCAATCAGCCGTCCTTAGGTGAAAACCAGGTCTGTCGAGGCGACAGCGTCTGAATGAAACAGCACACGTGCTTGGAGCATATATATAAGCTGGGTTGGAAGGGGGGAAAAGGGCGCCTTGACAAAAGAATATGCATATCAAGAGGAATTTAGTCGTGAGAATTATTTTATTATGTTTTATTCTTATTTTATTACTTCCCTTCTACGTGACTTTACCGAAAGAACCAAGAAGATTATTCTTCGTTGTCAATAAGAATGCGAGTCATTGTTTCAACGACGCTTTTGGATGCGGATTTTTACCACCACCTTGCAAAAGAAACATGTTTCGAGTGATCGGTCTTCTTGAGAGCATAGAGAGGGCATAAAGCCGGGCTGACATATAAAGTAAATCATTCTGCCCACCCCGTCTGTTCTGAATAAGGATCATTGCCTGAAACGTTAGCCTGCTGTATATATATGTTTCTGCTATCGAAGTGAAAATGACGAAAGTGGTGAGGTTTTGTTTTTTTCTCGTGCACTGCTGCTGAAACTAAACATCCCAACTTGTATTTAAAGGCTTGCATCTTGAATCCTTGCCTCACTTGATGCAGCAAATCTGGCTGTGACGGTCCCACCTGATGACGGAGACTTGTGTTGCCTCCGAAACGTCGTGATTTTATTGTTTTATTTTTATTAATTTTAATTTCATTTTTTTACCTACGTGACTTTACCGAAAGAACTAAGAGTAAGAAATTAAAGATGTCTTTACAAATGTATACGTTATTTTAATTTGTATTAAATTGCAATACTATAGTGCTATATTTACAGTCGTGCAACTCAGCATGAGTCTTTACATTTTAATAATTTTCTCTATAATTGCCTTGAGGATGTTTTCTTTCTCGCAGATGATAGTTACAAATCAAGAGTTGCACTAAATTCAATCGACATTAACTATTAAAAGAACATCATTCATATCATTGCTTCTGTAATTATCTCTCTTCTGCGGGTGAAGAGCTTGTAGAGATTTTAACGACGGGAGACATTTCTAAGCGCGACCCAGCCAAAATTCTGACATCGGAATTTGCGGGGAATAATGTTTTTTTAACGGGAAACCTGCGACAGGGCTGAAATTATTTGATACTTATAAAGCAGTGGAGAAGAGACGACGGGAAGAGCTTCGTTCATTAGAAGGCACACAGCCGAGTGACAGAGGCAGACTGCCCATGGTGTGGGGTCCATTGACGTTGAGCGCTACGTGTGTAGTAGGTTCGAATAAGGTGCACACACATGCAGCTTGGAGGCAACACTATTTATTAAACGGTAAGTAATATAACACTGTACATGAGGTGGTGACCACCTTCCTCAACTCACTAACACTCTGGAACACGACACAGACTGGACCAGGCAGGCAACTGCCTGCCTGGTCCAGGACGACGACCCGGGACTTGAGAACCGATGATGTCTTCACTTTGGAGTACAGTACAACAGCCTCGCTCTGCGTTCACACCACGCTTATATCTGCCCTGGCGTGGCCGGCTCCGCCCAGGCCACGCCTCCCTTCCTAGGCCACGCCTCCCTTCCCCCACCTCTGGGAAGGTCCGGGTCCCTCCACCACGTGACCCCCCAGACACCCCCTTGGGGCCCCCAGCCCTCGTACGGGCCGACACAGTAGTGACCGTTCTATGTCACTACACGTGCAGTGGTTTGTGCACAGCGCACCCCATCCTGTGAGCGCCGTGCGTGGAGCTCTTCCGCTCGCCACGACAAGAGCGCTTCAGGGGAGAGAGTTCGCGTAGTTTTGCCACTCGTCCGTTGAAGGAGTGCAGACGACGGTGATTTACTGTAAGATCCACAGGTTGGGTCGAATGGCCGCAATCGGTAATTATTCGGACTCACGTCCAGAAGGCGTGCAGCCGGTGCCCTTGTTCTGAAAGTGTGCACCGTGTAAAGCTCTCGCCTGGATCGACTCGGCATGAAACGGGTACCGCATTGAGCAAAGTCAGTCGGGCTCGTGGTGAATGGTCGTGCCACAATTTTTCGATTTAAAGCTTTCGTGACTGCAGGGATTCATCTTCTTGGTTCTTTCGGTAAAGTCACGTAGAAGGGAAATAATAAAATAATAAAAATCAAACATAATCAAATAATTCTCACGACGTTTCGGCCACAACGCAAGCAGCCGTCCTCAGGTGAAGAACAGGTCTGTCGGAAAGACAGCGTCTGAATGTCAACAGGTCTGTCGGAAAGACAGCCTCTGAATGTCGGAAAGACGCTGTCCCATCGCAGCTGTCTTTCCGACAGACCTGTTCCCCAGACTGAAGCGTCAGTGCAGTGTGTTCCCATCTCATTTGGAAAAAGTCTGCGCACGTGCATTGCTTTCGTGCTTTCGCGCGTTGGCTTTTTCCCTACATAGGTGATTGTACCGTGATGGAAATATCAGCACTGGGTGACATTTTTCTTTGACGCCCCAATCCACTTTTTATCCACGATACTGAGCCAAGCACATGTGTCTCCGCCATTTTATGCCGCAGCATCTGTCTGCGGTCACTGGCCGTCTTCGTAAGAGTCGGGCTACTTTGTTCTTATTACCTCGTCCGAATCGTAACTCCGGCTGCGTTTGCTCGTTGTGTTTGGTCTGTCCCGCCCGCAGCTGCATCGCACCGCTGAGATTCTGCAGCGACTTCCGGCCATACTTCACCATCCACGACCCCGAATTCCGGGAGATAACCACGCGCACGCAGGCGCCGTGAGCAGCAGCCGTGCGGCCATTGCCCGCTCAACCAAACCACGCAGCCACCATCAACACCACCACCTCTACCACCACCTCCACCACCACCTCTACCACCACCTCCACCACCACCACCTCCACCAACACCACCACCTCCACCAACACCAACACCACCACCTCCACCAACACCACCACCACTACCTCCACCACCACCACCTCCATCACCACCACCTCTACCACCACCACCTCCACCACCACCTCCACCACCACCACCTCTACCACCTCCACCAACACCACCACCACTACCTCCACCACCACCACCACCTCCATCACCACCACCTCTACCACCACCACCACCTCTACCACCACCTCTACCACCACCACCTCCACCACCACCACCTCTACCACCACCACCTCTACCACCACCTCCACCACCACCTCCACCACCACCACCTCCACCACCACGAACACCACCACCACCTCTACCACCACCACAAACACCACCACCAGTATCGCCACCACCTCCACCACCACCTCCACCACCTCCTCTACCACCTCTACCACCACCTCAACCAACACCACCACCACCTCCACCACCACCACTACCACCACCACGACCGCCTGTGTTGCAATCGCAACTTCGGAATTTTTTGTTATTTTCTTTGAACCTATCTACGTGACTTTACCGAAAGACCCAAAGAATTTGAATTCCTGTAGTCAGAAAAGCTTTAAGTGAAGATCATGGATTCTTAATTGTATTTTTTGTTGATATAACTTCTTGATTCGACCCTACTGGACATCTTTCAAAAAGAGCTTCATAGCTCATCGGATTCCTCCAGGACACGTAAAGATTCTGAATCTGATACTTCAGAAAGTAGTTCAGTGATGCTGTCCTGCCGGCATGTTCTCTGACACCAGGCGATGCACTGCTCACTCCCAGAGCTCCGAATGGAAATGTACTCTCGTCTTCTGAAATTATGCTCAATTGATGGTGGGTGTGGGCCAGAGTGAGAAAATAAACGAGCGATTGTAAAACATAACCCAGCTACGAAGGTCCTTACGCTCGTGCCATCAAGCTACTCCCATTAGCACAGTAGGCTACGTACGGGGTGAAAGAAGATCAACATATATCCGTACAAGCGAGTTGTCCACCAGTCAACAGACATTGTCTCGACTGCTGCTGCTGTATTTGCCTCTGCTACAGCTGCTGCTGCTGCTGTTAATTTGGCCTCTGCTACGGCTGCTGCTGCAGCTACTGTGGCCTCTGCTACAGCTGCTGCTGCTGCAGTTAATTTGACCTCTGCTACAGCTGCTGCTGCAGTTAATTTGGCCTCTGCTACAGCTGCGGCTGCTACTGCTACTTTGGCCTCTGCTACAGCTGCTGCTGCTGCAGCTACTTTGACCTCTGCTACAGCTGCTGCTGCTGCAGCTAATTTGACCTCTGCTACAGCTGCTGCTGCTGCAGTTAATTTGACCTCTGCTACAGCTGCGGCTGCAGTTAATTTGACCTCTGCTACAGCTGCTGCTGCAGCTACTTTGACCTCTACTACAGCTGCTGCTGCTACTTTGACCTCTGCTACAGCTGCTGCTAATGCAGCTACTTTGACCTCTGATACAGCTGTTGCTGCTGCTGCTGCAGTGAATTTGGCCTCTGCTGTTTTGTGCTCAGCCCATCGGTGATTCTCGGCGTGACGAACCCATTCTTCGCCAAGACTCTGCAGCACTGGCCTCACATCCTTCGCATCGGGGAGACGCGGCCCTCGGGTGAGTCTGGGCGCACCTCTTGTCTCCCAACAAGTGCAGGGGGGTTACATCCTTAATCCCGGAACTTTGGAGACAAGGAGCGGTGGGTTGTCGTGAGGTCGGGTTCGGTGTTTGTTGGTGGGTCGTCGCCAGCTACAGCAACGTCAGCGTTATTTTTGTCTTCGACAACATGATCGTCATGTTACCATATGACGATGCTATTTTTGTTTCCGCACCTCTGATTAGCACGGTGTGAAAGAAGTTCAACATACATATATCATAATCGACATAATCACCATCGTTGCATACTTCATAATCAATTACATTTTTCATCGTGATGATCAACATCACTGTTATCACGATCGTCGTCGCCGTCTTCATCATTATCAAGCGCATGCAGGTGGCCGGGTGGGCCAAAGGTCAAAGCGCTGAGCAAGCACCGCTCAGATGCTGGCTTCAAATCTGAAGCAGCCACCCGTGATTAATCATAGTGTGGTGAGTTGATGGTCTCATGCGAGTCACCAATGATTCGGTCAAAAAAGCAATTGGCACTTAACTTAAAAATGAATTTTAAAAAAATTACATTTATTTTGGCTCTGCGCTTAATCGGTTCCAAATTCCAGCTCTGACAATGAAAATCGTGGTTTGACTGCCGTCGATTGACATTACCGTCAAGATGTAGAGCGGGTGGGAAAGTGATGCCCTCTTCTCTTGGGTTCTTTCGGTAAAGTCACGTAGGCATAAAATAAACGTGACTTTTCCCGAAAGAACCAAAGAGTATGGATCCCTGCAGTCACGCAAACTTCAAATATAGATTGATGCCCTCTTACTCTGGGCTGTTCTCCAACGTGAAAGGGGCGGCGGGGAGGGGGAGTTGCTGCACTCCACTGACGGCACGATCCGGCTAAAGTTGTGCGGAAAATCGAAGTGAAAACTGGCGCCCGTCCGAATAAGTCTTGACGAGGTGGCGTGCCTCGCTGTGTGCAGCAGGTGACCAGCCGCGGCAGGTGAAGCTACGCAAGGCAAGCAAGCTCAAGGCACTGGACGCTAAACCAGGTATGGGGCTCGAGCCGAAAGGCAACACAGACGTTCAACCCCGACAGGGTAGACGTGTCTGGAAGATTCATATCATGCATGACGCAATACCAGGCTCAGATTGCATCATTCATTGTTTTGGTCAAAAAGCAAGTACTGTCCAAACCCAGTCGTAGGTTTATTCATAGATCCAGTCAAAGATGTATTTTAGTCATTTCTGGTTTAAATTGAGATCCCTTCCCTTCATAACTCACTTATCCTCTGCCATTCCCAAGTCAAGGGTCATAGACACTGACCCAGTAGCATATATTGGAAACTAGAACAAATCAATAATTTTAGGCATAATTTTCATTCTCAGTGACCCAGAATGAGCAAAGTTGGACGACATTTATTTCGGGAGCATTTTGGCTGTAGACCAGTGTCATCGATCATGCCATGAGAACTTGGTGACCTGCTCGTAAGGCATGGAGTCGTTAACCGTCCCTTTACGAGATTCCTTGATCCGGGTGACAATTAAAATTCGAGAGTCGAGTCTTAATGATCTCGTTAGGATCGTCTCACTTGTATTGTCTCGTATGTTGTGCCCTGCGTCTGACGTCTTGTTCGGTGAAATGCGGTGAATTGTCACGATTTGGGGCCACAATCGGATTCAAGAATATTGATTATTGTTTGTCGCGTTTGCATCGTCTCAATTGTATTGCGTGTCTCGTAAGTGGTGTCCTGCGTGTTGCCTTGTTCTCTTAGGCCGAATGTTGTGGAATGTATAATTCACATACATCGTAAACTTATTGTTTCCTGCAAACACAATCTGATTCATGTTTCGTGAGTGAAAGCGTCAGGTTTATTTGATAAATCAGTACCTGCCCGCCAGTGAGTTACCCAGGTGTGTCAACCATCAACATACACGCCGTCTGCTTCACAGTGCACGTTCATGAGCAGCTGAAACATTTGCCACAAACCGTTCAGTTTGGATTACACATAGCAACATCACCCGCCCCCTACTGTGAAACTACTGCAGACTGTGTCTGTGAAACTTTGCACCTTTGTGATAGCCGTGCACTATAAGAATGGTGTACATACAAAATGCACTACGTTATGTTTTATACATCTAAAACTACTCTTAACTATACCATTTTAACCTTTTTACTGGCAAATGAGGTTCCAATGGTGTAAATGCTTACCCCGAGATCTCATACTCTGATGGTGCATTGTCTTTGAGTTGTGCGCCTTTTGGCGTCATCTGGTCCAACCCATGTGAGACTAGGCTCTAAGGAAAGCTGTCTCGGGTGTGGAACAATTAAGTTCAAGGACAGTGCATACATTATCAGAGTTGTTTTTTTTTTCATTATGACTGCAGGTATTGTGGTCTATGCAAACATGACTCCTTGTAAAAGGTGTCAGTTTTGTTGCCAGATAGAAGGGTAAAAAACAATTATCATTACTTTTAACTAATTCTCATTTAGCCAGTTAAAACCCACTGAGCTGTGAGCTCGTTTTCACGGGCGACCTGGCCGCACATCGCTAGCTCATGGAAGTGGCTTATATGATCATCATCATCAGACGTGATCATCATCATTATAAGATGATCATCATCAGACGTGGGAATTTATAGTAGGAGCCAAATATTCAAAACGGATGTTTCTAAAATGCGGTGGGGGGAAAAACGGAGGACCTGTAATAAGTATAACCCGTAAAAACAAAGTTTTTCACTATAAATCCTTTATATGCGTGGCGACTAGAGTCCTCTCGTCATCTGGCTTGAGATGGCTGCCACCTATGGGTCAGATGATTGCATTGCACTATTAAGCAATTGGTAATTAAATATAATATTTGTGTCCTAAAAAGTGTAAAATTTTGGAAATAAATTTTCACGAACATTGTCACGCACAACGAGTCTGTGTAGAAAATGTCAGCTCGATTGGATCACGGGAAGTGGGTTAAAAAACGACCGAAAGATTTGCACGGTCCTAAGCAAGCAAGCAAACTTAATATAAAGGATTTAAAAAAAAAGCCACATGACCACCACGGAGAGAGAGAACACCTGATCTCCAAATTTACAACGGGCAACGTCAGGGTGGGGATCGAACCCCCGACTTCCTGCGTCGCAGGCGAGGGAGTTAACATCTCCTTGCTACCCAGCTTCAGTTGACACGTGGTAGACTGCTTCATTGCCCCCACTCACTTTTTGGAATCTGCTAAATAATTGGTGCCAAAAGACAACCAAAACAAGAGCTGCGGGTAGGCTTGTTACTAACTTCATAACGACTATAATTGGTGGAGAGGAGTAGTGTGGCATCAAATTAATTGGGCTAATTAGAGTTTGTTTTGACCCCATCTGCGAGATGTCATTAGCGTTTTAATTACGATGCTGCAGCTTGGCGGGCAATATGTGATGGTACAATCGCATGGAATAAATTAGGGGCAATACATTTCTAAAATCATGTCACAATAAGTGATGAGTTATTCAACCTAATTGTACAGTTATTTTGAGTGCGTGTTCGCCGTCATTTAACAATAGTTTACCAACAATGTAAGTTCGAGGTATCAGTGCTGTTAGAAAATGCTGTGTACATTTTCGCTTTGATTATTTGACCATAACATTTTAATGCACTTTGTTCCATGAAACCTGCATGCATTTGGTTTAGGATGAGGCAGCCGCTTGTATTGTTAGGATCAATAATCCCATAAATGTAGACAGTCTTAGCTTCTGTAAGCTACACACTGTGTGCCCATAGGCGGTGGGTGAAAAAAAAATCCATGGTGAGTCTGTTTATAAATGAAACAAATTAATACGTAAGGAATGCCTGAATGTAATAAAGCACGTTTTAGTTTTTAATTCCACCGGCAGGGCGTGTGGTAGACCTTACGGCATCATGTGCCACCAGCAACATAAACTAAACTAAGTTTATTTTACCAGGTAAGCCCCACCTAGCTATATAGCTCTTTTTCAGAAGCGACCTAGCCACAAATGATAGCCCAACGAAGTGGCTTATCACATGGAAATTCCTAGCAGCCAAACACTCTAAATGTTTGTTTATAAATGTGGAGTGAAAACCCGGAGGACCCAGAGAAAAAATCCACGCGACCACGGAGAGAGAGACAAACTCCCAATATACAGGTGTCAGGATTGGGATTTGAGAAATGGGACGTCACATCAAAATGCGCAACTGTAAATAAATATAGACAACACGTTCTATCTTCTTAGTTATTTCGGTATAAAGTCACGTAGAAGGGAAATAAGAAAATAATAAAAATAAAACATAATAAAATACAATTCTCACAGTGAAAATTTTATTTTATTATGTTTTTTCTTATTATTTAGATGAATCCCTGCAGTCACGAAAGCTTTAAATCGAAATACAACACGTTCTACTTAATTAAATAGACTTTTTAATAATGTTTTCTCCGACCACATCAGAGTGCAGCGCCACATTAAATACGCACTACAATGACAATAGTTTAAAGCGATTTGAAGCATGTTTTATTTTTTGGGGGGGGGGGGGGGTGGGCAGAGCTTTGTGACGTCATTTGAGGGGGGGGGGTCTGACTTTTTGTGACGCCGTGTGACGAGGGGGGGGGGGTCAAAAATCGTCCAAAATCGCGTGACGTCATTTATGGACGGCCCCCAAGCCACTTCGTCGAGTTATCATTTGTGGCCAGGGGCAGCTTCTGTAAAAGAGCTCCACAGCTCGATGGGTCTTACCTGGTAGAATACAAATGAATAGTTGCGTTGTACTATGAGACCTCCTTTACCAGTGGCAAAATATAGTAATATGTTTTTACCCTTTCAAGTGGTACAAAAACTCATCTGGTCCAACACCAATGGAGACTAGGCTATAAGAAAAGCTGTCTCGGGTGTGGACCAATCAACTTCAAGGACAGTGCATATTATTATCATCATCATCAGAGTTGTTTCTTTTTGTTTGCATTTTGGCTGCTTGTGTTGTGGTTATTGCAAACATGATGCCTTGTATAAAGGTATCAGTTTTTGTACCAGTTGAAAGGGTAAAAACCTATTACTATAAGTTGCGTTGTAGTTTACGACAAGTGGGGCTGTTGCTTGTGCTGATGCCTGTCCCCTTCGGTTCTCTGCGGCGCAGGAGTCTACACGGCACACAAGCCCTTTCTGGTACGAGACCGGGCGATCGTCAAACGACTGCTCAAGGTGAGCATCGCGTGGAAGGCGCATCCAAGTGGAGCTGGGAAATCCGACTGTCGGAGGAATGTTTTTTTTATTCTTACTCTATAACTGATTCACACGTTCGATTGCTCGATTCATCGGATAACACGAAAGTATCGATTTAAAGCTTTCGTGACTGCAGGGATTCATCTTCTTGGTTCTTTCGGTAAAGTCACGTAGAAGAATAAAATAATAAAAATAAAACATTAAATACATTTCTTTTTACTTCCCTTCTACGTGACTTTACCGAAATAACCAAGAAAATGAAACACTAAAGTAGTAAAAAAAAAAGGTTTCGTGCCGCTGGACGGGAGGTGATGGTCGGGGCTTGATGACGTCGTCAGTATTAGCGGCCGTGTCACGCTGGTGTGGGGGGGGGGTGTCAAGGTAGCCACCATTTATGTAGGGGCGTAAGTGATCAGTCACAAACGAAGTCGTTGATGATACTTTTTATTTGATTTACTTACTCATCTAACCGTGTCTGCTTTAACTATAAGTGTTGTCCTTGCCCCGCCACCTCCGATGATAATCACTGCTGGCTAGGTATGGTGCGAAAGAAGTTGAACATCCATACGCATATAAGTGCACTCTGTGATGGCCTTATCTCTCGAGCTCTCTCTCATTTCGGAGACCCAACTCACTTGATGGCGAGCGTCCCTTTCCCTACATGCCGCACTGATCAGGGTCATGTATTAATCCATTCCACTCTCTCGCCCCCCCCACCCTCCGCCACCATGCCCCCCCCACCGTGCCCCCCCTACCTCCCCCACCGTGCCCCCCCCCACCATGCCCCCCCACCCTCCGCCACCATCCCCCCCCACCGTGCCCCCCCTACCTCCCCCACCGTGCCCCCCCCTGCCTCCCCCACCGTGCCCCCCCCCCACCATGCCCCCCCACCCTCCCCCACCGTGCCCCCCCCACCGTGCCCCCCTACCTCCCCCACCGTGCCCCCCCCTGCCTCCCCCACCGTGCCCCCCCCCACCATGCCCCCCCACCCTCCCCCACCGTGCCCCCCCACCGTGCCCCCCCTACCTCCCCCACCGTGCCCCCCCCTGCCTCCCCCACCGTGCCCCCCCCACCCTCCCCCGCCGTGCACCCCCCACCGTGCCCCCCCTACCTCCCCCACCGTGCCCCCCCCACCCTCCCCCACCGTGCCCCCCCCTGCCTCCACCACCGTGCCCCCCCCCTGCCTCCCCCACCGTGCCCCCCCCACCGTGCCCCCCCTACCTCCCCCACCGTGCCCCCCCCACCCTCCCCCACCGTGCCCCCCCACCGTGCCCCCCCTACCTCTCCCACCGTGCCCCCCCCCACCCTCCCCCGCCGTGCACCCCCCCGCCTCCACCACCGTGCCCCCCCCTGCCTCCCCCACCGTGCCCCCCCCACCTCCCCCACCGTGCCCCCCCCACCTCCCCCACCGTGCCCCCCCCCCCACCTCCCTCCCCCCGGGTCCCCCAGGGCGTCCAGAGGAAGCGCCCCGTGGAGGTGCAGAGCGCCATTCTGCGCAGGTACCTGCTGGAGCTCACGCAGAGCTTCATCATCCCGCTGGTGGGTGCTGGTGGTGGTGGTGGTGGGTGGTGGTGGTGGGTGGTGGTGATGGTGGGTGGTGGTGCTGGGTGGTGGTGGTGGGTGGTGGTGATGGTGGTGGTGGGTGGTGCTGATGGGTGGTGGTGGTGGTGGTGGGTGGTGGTGGTGGTGGGTGGTGGTGGTGGTGGGTGGTGGTGGTGGGTGGTGGTGCTGATGGGTGGTGGTGGTGGTGGGTGGTGGTGGTGGGTGGTGGTGGTGGTGGGTGGTGGGTGGTGGTGGTGGTGGGTGGTCGTGGTGGTGCTGGGTGGTGGTGGTGGTGGGTGGTGGTGGTGGTGGGTGGTGGTGGTGGGTGGTGGTGGTGGGTGGTGGTGGTGGTGGTGGTGGGTGGTGGTGGGTGGTGGGTGTTGGTGGGTGGTGGGTGGTGGTGGGTGGTGGTGGTGGTGGTAGTGGGTGGTTGTGGTGGTGGGTGGTGGTGGTGGTGGGTGGTGGTGGTGCCACACGAACAGCTGATCCCACATCTGTTGCCCGCGGTACACAACAGTCGATGGAATGGCGGTGGAGCAAGTGGGTTTCGTGAATCCACGTGTGCGCAACCTTTTGAGCGGTTATCCCCACTGGTGTGCGGCTTTCCTCCTGGGTAGATTGGATTTTAGCTCACAATTAAATGAATTAAATAAACGTTCGACAAATTGCAATTGGCTAAACGTCCCAATGCAGCGGGTCCTTCCCGAGAAAGTGCCTTGCCAGCTCAGCGAAGCTTTCCTAGACGCAAATGACGTGATTTAGTAAGCTGCAGTCATGCCCCGATTGTGCACGTATTCCACGGAGGTGTCAGCTGATCGGGTCCCGCGGTTGTGGCTCACGATGATGCGGCTCTGCCAACGCGCCTCAAGAATACAGCTTGGCGGCTTGGAGATGCGTCTCAAAGAACGTGGACTCTGGCGAAAGAGAATTGAGCAAACATCTGAAAAGGGCACAGAGAAGTGGAGATGTGCATCCTTGAAATCACCGCGAGAGATAGCGATGGTTTTGGGTAACCCTCCATCCACTGAGTGAATACATTATGGCCGGTGATGATGATGATGTGACGACGGTTGCTCTTAACGTTCCTCCAGGTTAACATGCCAACGTTGGGACAACGTTGGGACAACGTTGGGACAACGTTGGCATGCGGTGGAAACCGCTGGCCCAACTTTGGCCCGACGTTCCACCTTTACTGGGCTCTGGCTCTCGTTCGCGAAATCCGCTCAAGTGCCCCTCTCCCGCCACGAACCTTGACATCTGCCTATCTCCCCTCCCTACGTGTTGCCGTCGCAGGAAAATGTTTTACCACAAGCACACTGCGTGGTTCATGCAGACGTGATGCCTTGTAATAGGTCTCTATTTGGTTTTTGAACGTCTTAACGCCTCCGGTATTATTGTCGAAGAGAGTAAAGCCTATTATTTTTTCATCATTTTTTTCATCAAAAACGGTTACTTAGATATAACTGCTCAAACTGAGCTAGTAATGTTTGGGTATTGGCATTGCCTGTGTGCTGTTCGCATTTTCATGGTCTCTGGCATAACACTGGTTGTGAGACGAGACCGTGAAGGAGGCTGTCTCTGCTGTAGGCCAATTAGTTTCAAGGACATTGCATACATTACCAAGCATGTTTTGTTTGCATGTTTTACCACAAGCATGATGTGTGGCGAGTGCACACTTGATGCCTTGCGATAATGGGTGTCCATTTGGTGTGTGATCATGTTAACACCTCCTGTATTCCATTGGAACCTCATTTGCCAGTAAAAAATTATGATAATAGTTTTTTTACCCTTCTATCTGGCAACAAAACTGACACCATTTTTTACTGGCAAATGAGGTTCCAATGGTGTAAATGTTTACCCCGAGCTCTCATACTCTGATGGTTCATTGTCTTTGAGTTGTGCGCCTTTTGGCGTCATCTGGTTCAACCCATGTGAGACTAGGCTCTAAAGAAAGCTGTCTCGGGTGTGGACCAATCAACTTCAAGGACAGTGCACATTATGAGAGTTATGTTTTTTGTTTCCATTATGACTGCAGGTATTGTGGTCTATGCAAACATGACTCCTTGTAAAAAAAGGTGTCAGTTTTGTTGCCAGATAGAAGGGTAAAAAACCAATTATCACCTCCTGTATTATTGCCGGAGAGGGTAAACTCTATTCTTTATTTTTATGTTATCAGGAGCGCTACGTGGCCAGCCTCATGCCCTTGCAGAAGAGCGTCGCGCCCTTCAAGGTGAACCCTCAGCTCCCCGCTCCGCATTCACGCGCCGATTCACGCGTGATTTCTTGGGGGGGATTGCGTAATTCTTGTGAGCTCTCTTTGAAGAGGTAAAAAAATTAACCCGTAAAAACAAAGTTTTTCACTATAAATCCTTTATATGCGTGGCATCGGTTTTATTTTATTTTTCCTTTCTGTTTTTCTTGAGTAAGAGTTTCATTTTTATCACATTGGTATTTAAATTAAATATGAAAAAAAAATTCCTAAAAAGTGGAAAATTTTGGAACAAAAATTTTCAGGAAAATAAATTGTCACGCACAACGAGTCTGTGTGAAAAATGTCAGCTCGATTGGATCACGGGAAGTGGGTTAAAAAACGACCGAAATATTTGCACGGTCGTAAGCGCGCAAGCAAGCAAGCAAGTGAACTTGATATAAAGGATTTAAAAAGAAGCTAACATCCAGCGAAGCGCGGCAGGGCATTTACTCACGCAGTCGAGCGTCTTACTTGCATACCTGTTATCAGTGCCTACCCTATTACAGACCAATTCAGACATTACTGCTCATCCCGTGCCCCTTATCAATCTCAACGTTCATCCGACAAAGTCCCCATCACAAGGGAGAAACACAACACAAATAGACATTTTTTTTGTTGCCCCGACTGAAACGTCTGTACGCCGTATGGACCTGAAAACTCAATTGCCCTGTTCAACAATACGGGGTGACCCGTGTGGGTTTGACAGCTTTGCATTTGTTACGCGCCTCCGATGGGCACGGTTGGCGACGTATGGTGCAGAAAAAGTCACCCCAGAGTGCTCACCCTTTTTGGCGGTGTGCGGTATTGACCTTCCACGCGCCCCCCCAAATCCCGCTGTCTCCCGCCAGCCTCGTTGCGATTCACATTTTATTTTACTTTTATTAATTTTAATGTTTTACCTACGTGACTTTACCGAAAAAACCTAAGAATATGAATCCTTGCAGTCACGAAAGCTTCAAATCTAGAATTAACACATTCTGGCTCATGAGCCACGACACTCGTTCCTTGGATTTATCAGTCTTCCTCGTGATCTCTGTGCGGGTGTAACGTCCTGTTATGTTATAGACCTTTTTTTTTCTTTCTCTCCAAACACTTATATGGGTCTATCGTTTTTAATGGAAAAAGAACTATAACATGATAAAAATAAACTATTTATGTTGATAAATAAAAAAGTCAAAGATTCCCCACCGTTGTCAACATATGCATGGAATCTTCTCCAGGTGGTGTCCAGAGCCCGGAGGTTTTTTTTCTGGAAATTAGCCTCATTTGTGCTCACGTGAGCTGGGCGTGGTACCATCAGTGTCTGTAATGCAGCACTTGGGAGGCGAGGTCCGGTGCACCCCCTCTAGAGAAGGATTTCCCAAACTCCTTTTCTCAAGACCCACACCACAGGTTTCGCCAAGTTGACCAATATCGCTCCTTTAAAAAATAAAGTTAAATCGTTACACGCCACGCATCATCCGGTAATTGCTCAACAGCTAGGCACGTCCCAGGTAGTGTAGAGTGATCCGATTAAATTCGATCAAAGCTTTCTCGTTCGTGGATAGATCATGGCTGACGCTGATGGTGATTCTAGATTTGAAGTTTTCGTGACTGCAAGGATTCATACTCTGTGGTTTTTTCGGTAAAGTCACGTAGGTAAAAAATAAATAAATGAAAAATTTTGCTGATGGTGATGATGATGAACTCGTAGGACGTGATATTCAAACCGATCATTTGGGATTTTTGCCGTGGCCGAAAATTCTGCGTCGTTACTGTCCTGTTGTCTCCGTAGTCCAAACACTGCATGTGTGTCTGTGTGTCTGTGTGGTGCAGGTTGTGAGCTAAGTTTATTTTGTTTAACCAGTTGTCAACTCAAGGGACTAGGAAAGTCCCATTTGTTAGCATGACCTGGGACAATATTATACCAGTTGGGGTGGGGAGGGGCGATGATTGCTATATATATATAATCCCAATTTAATAATCAGTGGTTCATCGAATATGGCACACAATGACCTACCCTTGTAAATTACGTCACTTCGCGGGATCTTGAACATCCACTGCGAAGCAGACCGCGCGCAGCATCACCACCACCATCGTTAAAACAAACCCGCAGTAATAACCAGGGCGGCCGCTGGATTCAAACCGTGAACCCTTGCCACAAGCGGCGAGTGCGCGCTGCCACCGCTAGGCGCTCCCTGCTGTGCAGAGCGGTTAAATAGCAAAGCCAATCTATTATCGCCATCGCGCGAGCACGCTAACGTCACACGGGGAAAAGTGAAATATTAATCGGCGACGAACCAGCGGATCTAAATCTGCTCCGTGGTTATTGTACAGCCTCATTGCAGCATCAGGGATCGTGGCAATGGTTGTGCAGTGATGACTGCGGCACACGACTGGATGATTTGGTGCACCGATTTTATATTCACGTTCCGGACTGATCAATACGCAGTTCAATGGACCAACTCCTGCCAGCTCAAAGATATTCTCGCAATGTGTGTGGCTATAAGAGGCAGTACAGCGGGTAGGGTTTGTGACCCAATTGTACGCGTATTATTTGGGTCTTTCGGTAAAGTCACGTAGATAGGTTAAAAAAGAACAAAAAATTACGACGTTTCGATCACAACACAAGCGATCGTCATCAGGAAGAAACCCGAGGGGAAAGCTGCTGAGGCAGACTGTGTTTAAAGGTTTAAAATGGGTGTAGCTCAAGGGTCATAAACGAAGTGGGCTGGGTTAGTGATTCATATTCTTGGTTCTTTCGGTAAAGTCACGTAGAAGGGAAATAATAAAATAATATAAATATAAAAAAATATTTTTCTTATTATATAAAAAATATATTTATATTATTTTATTATTTCCTTTCTACATGACTTTACCGAAAGAACCAAGAAGATGACTCCCTGCAGTCACGAAAGCTTTAAATCAAAATTTGGGCTAGTGATGTTAATGTGAGAAATTAGCATGTTTAAGTCAAGATGTGTGCGTATATTGAGTGCTTTCTCAAATGTATGTGTGTGTGGGAGGGCTCTTCTGTGGATCGTCGCTTCTTTACCGAAACCAAACATGCCCACAGACATCAAAACCCAGTTCCCTTGTGACTCGGCGAGGATTACCTGCACCAACAAGTGACTCCGATTGTCTCACGTATGCACGCGCTTGCGTGCGCGCGTATTCCAACACCACCCATTCGTGCGCCGTGCCGGCCTTAATAGGCGCTCGCCGACCATCGCTCGAGTCTGCGGGGCTAAACGGTGGCGGGGGGCGCCGTGTTCTCTCCGCGCACGTTCAGAGCCCCCCGCAGGTCCGTCCCTTCGTGGTGGACGAGTTCGTGGCGACGCTGCAGCACGCCGGCCCGCAGCTCACGTCGCCTCTCCGTGGAGACTGGCAGGGCCTGTACCGGTGCGTGTGTGTGTGTGCGTGTGTGTGTGTGCGTGCGTGTTTGTGTGTGGTGTCCGTGCGAGCGTGTGCGTGTGTGGTGTCCGTGCGAGCGTGTGTGTGTGTGGTGTCCGTGCGAGCGTGTGTGTGTGTGGTGTCCGTGCGAGCGTGTGTGTGTGCGTGCGTGCGTGTGGTGTCCGTGCGAGCGTGTGTGTGTGTGTTGTCCGTGCGAGCGTGCTCAGTGTAAGAGCGGTAGTGCAGCGGTTAGCACGCCGTGCTACGAACACGGTGGCCAGAGTTCGATTCCCGTTCACGGCCACCAACACCAGTGACAATTATCTGGGCCTCCCCTAGGTCAACTGAGCCTAATATGAGTATCTGGTGCGATGTGTAAACATTGCCACGAGGAAGACACTGGAGGCTGGGCATAATGTCGGTCACCTACTACATGTGCTGTGCCGGCCTTCACAGGTGCTCAGGAACAGCACTTGCCCCAAAACAGTCAGTTAAGGCTATACGGGGGGTGTTTGTGTTAGTACGCACTCCAGAATTGTTTATGTACATAGTATAGGGTGCTTAAAATGTTTTTAACACTTCTGAGAATTTGCAACAGTACCACAAGAAATGTGCCTCCGGGCTCTGGACACCACCTGGAGAAGATTCCGTACATGTGTTGACAATGATGGGGACTCTGACTTTTTAAATCTATTAACATAATACAATTTTTTTTATCATGTTACAGTGTATTATCCGTTCTTTTTCAATTAAAAACGATAGTCCCATGTAAGTGTTAACATTTTTTTGAAGCACCCTGTGTACGCGCGTGCTTTGTGCGCTGACATGCAGTCGCTTCCTCCGGTCTCAAAACTTCGAGGGCTGGCTGTCGGCTCGACGACGCGACATGAACCACAAGCTTGAGCTCCTGCACATGGAAGCCCTCCTCAACGCAGTTGAGACACGCAAGCACACGCGCACACACACGCGCACACGTGTGCACACACGCACACACCGAGGGCCCTGTTCTTAGTCGCAGCTCGGCTCAGGCTTGAACCGCTCAGCTGCTTTCAAAGATGCATGAGCAGCTCAGCCATAGCTTGGGCTCAGGCTCAGGCTCATGGAAAAACCTGAGCGCAGCTGGGATCGTGCACAGAGCCGGCTCAAGCTAAGCGTGGCTTTTGCGACGGCTCGCTTGTGCCAGAGTCAAGTCTGAGCCGGGCCGTAAGAACAGGGGTCTTACACACCCCGTACACACACGACGACAACGGTGGGCATTCGCCACTAAGTGACAGTGATATCACCTCAATGTTTGTACGATGTGAAGTGTGGCAAGCTCGCTGGCAGGAAGTCGTAAGATAGACCCAGGTGTCATGGGTTGATTGATTGAAATGACTGGTGCATGCACCACCTGGCCTCCTCACTGTTACACACAAATACAAAGCTACAGATCCACCGTATAGCCTTAACAGATTGTTGGGGCAAGTGCAGTTAGTGAGCACCTATGAAGGCCGGTACAGCACACGAGGTGGTGGGTGGCCAGCACCACGCCCAGTTGCCTTTGTTTCCCAAGTAGCACATGTTTATACACCACACCAGGTTCTCATTTGAGGCTGAGTCGACCTGGGGGAGACACAGAACTGGTTCAGATAATAAGCTACTGGTGTTGGCCGTGAGCGGGTATCGAACTTGGATGGCCGGGTTCGAAGCACAGCGCTCTAACCGCCACACTACCGCTCCCTACAACTTTACCACACACGCACTCACGTACACGCATGGACACGCACACATGCACACGCACACGTACCCTGGGTCACCGACGTTTGAAATGGGAAACTCGAAGTAAGGGACCGTCAATAAATGACGTCACGCACCTGGGGGGGGGGGGGGTGGTCAGACATTTGTGACGATGTGTGACGGGGGGGGGGGTTTGAGAAATGTGACGTCACATCAAAATGCGCAACTTTAAATCAATATAGACAACACGTTCTACTTAATTAAATATACTTTTTAATACATGTTTTCTCCTACAACATCAGAGTGCAGCGCCACATTAAATACGCACTACAACGACAATAGTTTAAAGCGATTTGAAGCATGTTTTATTTTGGGGGGGGGGGCAGAGGTTTGTGACGTCATATTTAAGGGGGGGGGTCTGACTTTTTGCGACGTCGTGTGACGAAGGGGGAGGGGGGGTCAAAAATCGTCCAAAATCGCGTGACGTCATTTATGGACGGCCCCAAATGCATCTACGTAAAAAAATGAAAACCTGTAGCCGTAGGACATGTGCACACTCACGTTCACATGCAGACTCACGTTCACATGCGCACTCACGTTCACATGCGCACTCACGTTCACATGCACACTCACGTTCACATGCGCACTCACGTTCACATGCGCACCTGTAGAGACGCGGTCACAGTGCGTCTCTGTTGTTGCTGCAGGACGTGGGAGGCTGGGTGTCGGGGCGCAGTGAAGTGGAGGCCGTGGATCTGGTCTTGCAGCTGCAAGACAAACTTGTGAGTTGTGCACACACCGGCACCAGCACTGTTACAGATGCTGCTGCTGCTGCTACTGGACAGAGCCTGCTGTTTGCGTAAATAATAATACTTTCGTTTCATATCACGTCATTTATGCAAACAGCATCCCACAACCTGTCCTGTACATGAATCATATATAAGGACCAAATCTTATATACGCGGTTGGCTATGCACGTTGCGAAAGAAGCCCAACACACACACACATACCGAGCAAATGAAAGCCCTCCAACCAAGCAAAATAAAACATTTATAAACAAATTAAGAAATTGCACCAAAACAAAAAAAGCACAAACAACAAAAAAAAGAAAATGAAAATAAATGAAAACAAAAAAGTGTTCAAAACAAAGAACTGAGTCGATTCGACCTCACATCCCAGACCACAATCACAACTTACCAACCATGCCAGGAACACTTTCGCAGTTACAAATCCTCGCCAGAAAAAAAACTTCACAGCTTTCGCAAGTTTCCTTCACAGGTTTCCTGGTGAAGATTTTTAAGGCACACAGGTTGTGTTCATTCTCAGAGAGAGAGAGGGACGACGATTCAGGGGCACGGGAAACCACAGACAAGCGACCGAGCGGCTAGAACCGGCGCCAACAAATGCCCGAGTTCTATGGTCCTACACTGGGAAGTTTGTCCAACTCAATCCATGAGCGTTTAAACCATGTGGGAGGAAACCAGAGTACCCATAAAAAAATCCATGCATGTGAGGGTAGGTGGGAGGGGGGGGGGTAACACTCAAACCCCGCACAGATGGAATACAGATGGGAATTAATCCACTTGCTTGACTGCCACCATACCCTGTCAAGCCAGGAAAGGAGATGGCGACCTCGACGCCCACGTGACGAAATTTGTGCGGTGATCCACCGACCCTCGCTGCCTCCACAGTGCCGGATTAGAGGCCACGTGCATAGACACCACCGCCCGGATGAAGAAGTCTTAGTTTGGCTCCCTGAGCCTCAGGCATGCCTGGGGCTTCCTCGAGACCACGACAGTGTGCGTATGGGCGGGGTGGGTTTGTGACTCGGGGAGCGTTGAGTCGATACCCGCAGAGTAGGCCAGGAGAGGGGATTCAAATCAATTCCTTTTTGTCGGTTCTAACGCTCATGCGGCAACCTCGATCGTTCGTACGACAACGTACGATGCGTGAAAATGACGTGATAAAATGCAACGTTTTAGACGGGACAACCGAGACGGAACAAGGGAAAACAATACAACGAGATGATGGTAATGGATGGCACAAACAAATCATCTACTTCGACTCTGTGACCACTGCATTGCAAGTGCGGTGTGCGAACCATCACACCGCGGGGCAGCGTCCCTCGAGCGACGTGCGTTGCCATATGCTACCGACCGTACATTTGTAAATATTTTAATATCGCCGCATCACACGAGATCACAATTACGAATGCCCTAATCGCTGGGCAGAACCCTCGTGCGCTTCCTGTTTACGCCGTCGCGGTTCAAGCGGCCCCGGCAGTGCGAACATATTCCGTGCTGTCTCCTGTCTCCCTGCCAGCTGCTGGCGGAGCGTGCGGGGCTGTCGCTGCCTGAAGACACTGAGGCCAAGCTGCAAGCGTGCATGCACACAGCCTTGGGGGCCTTGCCCAAGGACCTGCAAGCGGTTCTGAGCCGTATGTAACTCCACAGGGATTTGCCACCTTTGAGATAAAAAAAAATGCGAGACAAATTCTGGAACGCGTGTCACGGGAAGGAGAATATCCCGCAGGACAGGAAGAAGGGAGAAGCGCATCTCCACGGAGGGGCTTGAGCACTGCGTTATTACCCCACTGACAAAAAATCAGGGCTTGCTTCTCATGTCCCCGGGACGATTTACAGATTTGCCAGGGCAGCGACCTCACCAAGAGGGCGATCGTGGGAAAGCCAGGTCAGGTGGTAACGCTAAAGGATCACAATTATGTAGTTGACCACACTGGGGAATCAATTTGCCCCAAAACCAGGGGTCGACAACCTGCGGATCTGGAGCCGCATTGCAGATATTTAAACGTTGTTATTTTTTTGTTACCAAATTCGCAAAAAAAGTCTCTTTTTATTCTGGTCGGCGACTCCTAGCCCCGTACCAAGTAGCTGCAAGACTGTTTGTGCATTCTTTATTTTAAATGTGCGCACTGTTGCCAAGCTCGATTTGTATAGCACAGGTTCGGCATTGTACCCGTTACTAAATCGTAGGCGTGGAACGGTACGTCGATGAATCGATTTAAATCGGTCCTTATGGTCACGAAACATAGATTCAAACCGTGCATGTGAGAGAATCGATCACTTTTGATTTATATGCAAATCACACGCACATTATGTACTCTTACTAATGTAGTAGCAGCAGAAAAAAAAGACACAATAAAAATAATTAGGCAAATCACCGAGCGGGTGATGCACATGCTCACCGGTGAGGGATAGCGGTGCGGATTTCATGAACTGTCCATGCAGTGAGTTTATTAAGGGCGCTGCGATGCCGAGATGTTAACTCCCTCGCCTGGTATACAGGAGGTCGTGGGTTCGATACTGACCCTGATGCCGGTCTATTTGGAATTTGCGAGTCTTTTTCTTCCCGTGGTCGCGTGGATTTTTCTCCGGCCCATCCGGTTTTTCCCTCCACATTTGGAATCAACGTCACCCGTTTAGAGTATTTGGTTGCTATACATTTCTTCATGATGATAAGCCACTTCGTTGAACTATCATTTGTGGCCAGGTTGCTTCTGAAAAAGAGCTATATAACCCAGTGGGCCTTACCTGCTAAAATAAAATAAAGTTTATTTTTAGTTTAATTAAAAAATATTTTTTAGTGTTTCGTTTATTTTCGAAGGGGGGCCACTTTAAGATGATACCGCTGGGTGGCGCTGTGGGGGGGGGGGGGGAGCACGTGGCTCGCAGTCAGAAGGTTGAGTTCACAATCCCCGGGGGGGTCGATAAATCGTGTACCAGTTTGTGGGATGCCGACAGTTGGTTGTCTTATAGAGACACTGGCCTCCCGCCATATGAATGTGGAATTAACTTCAGCGGCTAAAAGCTGGATAGATGAGGACTGCACCGTGCTCGTTTACAGGGGGACAGTGACTGTTTTAAACAATTCATTTAAATGTTTTGTGTATATCTGTTAAGGTTAATTGATGCACTGCTACTTTCACAATAACCACCGGTTATCATTAATGTTTTAGTGAAACCGATAGGAAGTAAGAACATTTGATACTGCACAGTCCAGTCCACCACGAATGTGCATTGGTCACACGTCCAAGTCGGCTCTCTGAAACAACAACAACAAGATCGTTTTAAGTCTGCTGCGGAACTATCTGAGACTCAAGGATGGATCCCGAACATGAGCGAGGCAGCGTGTTCCAGCTCGTTGCGCCGGAGACCCCGAAGCTGCGCTGGCCGCGGTCACGCGCGAGGTTCACACGCGGCGGCTACAGCGGCAGGTCACCGCGAGCCGCGGATCGTCATGGCTTGGCTTCGCGGACGAAGATCTAGGAAGGACATCCACGTCTTCTGCAGCAGGCACGCTGGTGGCTGACGAGGCCTATGCGGGACAAGCAGGTCCTGCCACAACGGCTGCAAGTATAGGTCTGATCTGGGATGGGTGCCGAGGGATCACGGTTCTTCCTCCTTCTCCTTTTGTCCTCCATACGGGCCCTGCGGGTATCTTCGAAGAAGCAGGTGGCCTGGTGGACTGTGTGCCGCCAGGAGTTGCGATCAGCTGCTCGTGTTGCCCACTGATGGTGATCGATAGCCGCGGATCGTAGTCGGAGTCGATTTGGGTCTGTTGAAGCTGATACCCACCGATCGGCGAGATAGGACGGAGCGGATTGATGGAGACCCTTGAAGATGAGTAGGCGTCATTTATACGCGATCCTGGTTCCTATCAGACGATCTGCAGCATCTCACACCGACTGGAGTGGGCGCAGGCGAACAGAGCTGGCACAGCCGAAGACGCTGTTGCAGTAGTCCACGCGGCCAGAGCCGGCCAAGCCACCAGGCGACCCTTGCAATTGCAAAGGGCCCCGTGGCCAGCAGAGGGCCCCCTAGAGTCACTGCTAGCTAGTGGGTGAAAAATTTAAACATAATTTAATAGACTAAAAAATAAAAAATAAACATAGTAGATATAATATGCACAGTATAGTTATAAGGTAGTCATTGCTTTTCTTTAGGCCTTACTTAAAACGGTCAAAGGGGCCTCCAACCAAATTTTGCTTAGGGTCCCCAAAGGTCTAGGGCCGGCTCTGCACGCGGCTGATCATGAAGCGCGTGGACGAGTATCCTCGCAGTCTCCACAGCGAGAGCACGACGGCCTGTGCGCAGTTGTCGAAGCGGGGCAGAAGCACTGTCTAGTCAGGCGCCTCATGCGAGCCTGGTTCACCCAAACTCCGGGTTTCCATCTGCAGCAATCCCGTGCAGGCAATGCGTGGTTGGTGATGCGGGCCAGCGGTGGCGAGACCGCCGCTTGTTGCAGAGCTTCTGCAGAGGTCTTGCAACAATTAACCACGGCCGGGCCACCCTGGTTAATACTGCGGGTGTATTAACAATAAGCCACACCTCCGGTTAACACGGCTGGCTATGTACGGTGCGAAAGAAGTTCAGCGTACGTACATAGAACATGTGTGCCGTCCGCTTCACAGTGGACGTTAGAGCCACGGTCCATGTCAGGGTCCATGTTTGTCAAGTTTTGAAAAAGTACACGTGAATTACTCAATTGGGGTTACACATAGCAATCATCGACCCCTACTGGCAGACTGATTCACACTTACAAGCCCAGTGCTGAATCGTTGGCCTGCAGGTTGGCATTAGGTACCTTTTCAAAGCCACCTTGTACCACATAGGGACAGCTGCTACTGGGGGTTCCCCTTCGAATAGCTGACATGAGAGCCGATCTAAGGCAACTTGAGATACGGAGATGTTTAAGCGTCATAAAAACGCACTGATTGAGATATTCACTATTTTTCGTGAAAAGTTGACCGTAAATATTGGCACGCATGTAAAGACATAGCTGATTGAGGTCACTGAGACTGGAGTTTGGGAAGCCCTGAGTTAGGCGTTTGCATGACGGTTTTATTTTAAGAAAACTGCACAGGTCACCAGCCTAACATATAACTTGCACTTAATACACTCTATTGCCTCTTTATTCAAACTAATAGAGTACGTGTCGAGTACCAAGATGCCAGGCGTGCCGACACATACGACACATACCTGTAATCACGTGACTTCGAGATGGGGTTAGTGGATTGTGTAAAGGCGGAACAATCACATTGTCGAGGCACCATCCGGCAAAGCAGAGATGTACTTTGGAGACAGTACAGCAAGTGGGTGTTTGCCTTTTGTCAGTTTTGTCAAATCGTACTTGCCGAGCATGGGCCCGAATGCCTATGATGCAAATCAACAAGAACCTAGGAGCACTGCGGACAGCAGAGCAGATAAGGGGCCGTCCATAAATGACGTCACGCACCTGGGGGGGTGGTCAGACATTTGTGACGATGTGTGACGAGGGGGGGGGTGAGAAATGTGACGTCACATCAAAATTCGCAACTTTAAATAAAAATAGACAACACGTTCTACTTAATTAAATAGACGTTTTAATAAATGTTTTCTCCTACAACATCAGAGTGCAGCGCCACATTAAATGGGCACGACAATGACAATCGTTTAAAGCGATTAAAGCATGTTTTATTTTCAAAATGGAAATGTTTGGGGGGGGGGGGGGGGGCAGAGCTTTGTGACGTCATATTTGAGGGGGAGTCTGACTTTTTGTGACGCCGTGTAACGGGGGGGGGGGGGGGTAAAAAAAATCGTCCAAAATCGCGTGACGTCATTTATGGACGGCCCCTTAGTGTGGTAGACGGTGAGAATGAGTTGCAAAGTCATTGCGGTAAGAGGAAGGGATTAAGAGACGCGTCGCGCCCTGCACGCCGGTAGTTGGAAGACTTCATGGATGAGTGGCAATAGTCGATCTCGTGAAATGGGTCCCTCACGTTGGCAGCGGTTCGAAGTAGAGTTGAGATATCCAATTATTTAAGACGCCCCCATTACTTGACCAATCGGATGTCACGAAAATAGTTTGGAGAAAACGAGCGTCACGTCTGTTGCCACGTGTGCCGCTGGACGGCAGGCGATGGGCAGGGTGACGTTATTGGCATCGTCAGCCGCCGTCACGCTGGGCGTGGCTTGTAGGGGGTTTCCTGCCTTCAGGGGATGGGATGTCAGGGTAGACGCCAATGTTAAATGGGCCCGAGTAATCGGTCACAAAAAAGCAATCTATCAGTTTTTCGCAAATGTATCGACTAAACGTCCCAGCGCTAGTATCGAGGCGTGCACGCTCGTGAGAACGTCGGGCAGCTTGAGTATTTGTCAAATGTGGATGTTCTGGGCCCTTTGTTTCCTCCAAAGTCAAACAACCCAAGCAGCATCCTCCTGACAAAGTCTCGAGACTCCAGTTTTCTTGTGTAAACAAGTAATAATGATCTTCTTGGTTCTTTCGGTAAAGTCACGTAGAAGGGAAATAATAAAAATAACACAATCAAATAAAACATAATAAAATAATAAAAATAGAACATCATAAAATAATTATTTGGTTCTTTCGGTAAAATCACGTATAAAGATAAAATAATAAATTAAATAATAGCATACGACGTTTCATAAAATAAAACGTTAAATTTTATTGTTTTATTTTTAAACGTAAAATTGTATTTAATGTTTTATTTTAATTATTTTATTATTTCCTTTCTACGTGACTTTACCGAAAGAGCCAAGGTGAATCCCTGCAGTCACGAAAGCTTTAAATCGAAAAATAATAATGATCATTATTATCGCTATATAACTCTACATAGAATATGGAGCCATCGTATTTCCCCCCCACAAGACGTTTCGTTAAATTTGCCACGAGAAGTGCGACTGTTTTCCTTCACGACGAATGTTGGTTCGAGCAGCTGTAGATAAAGTCGCGACGATGGTAGAATACGGCCAAGCGGGCAGCGTGCGCGAATTGAGAACTTGTGCTCGAGATTGAGCAAAACCCACGTTCCGATCCAGCCTCTTGTTGTTACTGCCGAGATTCACCTGGCAGGCTGTAGGTCCGCTTGGCCCCGAAACGAAATACTCCACCGCTACTCGGCGAAGGAGTTGAAGCGGCCGGGTGCGGTGCTGGTCACCCGTCACTTTGTGCCGAGGCGAGAAGCGAATTCCATTAGCGGTCCGTGCCCAAGCGGTGGTTGCCGTTGTTGACGTGACATTGCTAAATTAAAGGCACGTTAACAACACGTCGCTGCACAATTTGACCGCTACGCAAGGCTTAAAGCATATACGCCTGTGATAAACATTGCAATATCGTTAAGTCCCTTAACGCCACTGTGTGTCGAGACAGTGGTACAGGCGATTATGGTGGGGTAATAATAATCATCATCATGAAAAGTAAAATCGCTTTACAAAAAGGCAATTCAGACTAGTGTTTCTTCTATCGTGCAATTGTGTAAAGTAGTAATGACAGGTTTCACCAAACACACCTGTTGTGTATTTCCAGTCTAACAAAATCGGTCTTAAGCCACCAACTACCTAACACTCGCACTCTATATGTGTGTATGTATACATGTACTTGTGCGTCACATGTTAGTTTGTGAAGTACGTAATGTCTACACGCTGTTGGCAATTGCTGCTGTGGAAAGCCTGGTTATATTCACAAAGCATCGAATTGTTTATCTTGACCGCTTAAGTCCACAAGCAGCGCATTCATAACACATACCACTTTGTCGAGTTTTATTATAGATAAAAAAAACCGGTGATATATCCTCGTACGAAAACATCGTTACATACTTGTGAAATTAACATAAAGACGCAGTTTCATTATTCCACTTTTAATCATATAAGCCACTGCATGTATCAACATAATTCCATGACTGTTCTGAGTACAGATTCAGAGGCTCAAGACGGATGCATTTACAACAATGCACTTGAAGATTGGCTGTTTGTATTTTACCGAAGGCTGTGAATAGAAGGTGGCAGTGCGCTTAAGAGGTACGAATGTGCTTCTTAATGACTTCGAATGGAACATCACTGTCACAGCTAATACTTGGGACAATGTATGAATCAAGCGGAGCCGGTGAACACATCCACAGATGAGGCAAAGTTCCCTTTAAGAGAACGAGTGTCGGAAGGCAATTGTGAAAACTCGCCGATGGACATGCGTACGGGTTTATCAGAAGAAACTCTTGACATGTCTAGAGTAATTAAATGATGGAGATTTTTTTTTGCGTCGACAAAGTCGGTTCTGTGGCTGTTAACTAGCCACTGATAAAGCCAGGCAATGGTTACTCTTTGAGCGCTGTGCAGTGGAGCTTTAATAACGGTAGAAGCAAATGTTGCGCCGAGTCTGGACACAAATAAAGCACGTGCTGTACATTTACCGAGTCGTGCCTAATGTGTGGTGTGTGGCGAAGGCGATGTGGTGCCGAGATGTTAACTCCCTCGCCTGGTACACAGTAGGTCGTGGGTTCGATCCTGACTCTGATGCCGGTATATATTAGGAGTTTGCATGTTCTCCACGTGGTTGTGTGGAATTTCTCAGGGTCCTTTGGTTTTTCCCTCCACATTTAGAAACATGCGTTTAGAAGATTTGGCTACCATAAGTGTGCACGTGATAAGCCACTTCACCGAGCTTTCATTTATGGTCAGGTCGCTTCTGAAAAAGAGCTACAGAGCTCAATGGGTCGAAGTTATGCCTCTTGAAGAGTTAATTACAGAATGTTGGATCTGGTCCCTTAACCTTGGAGTAAAAAAAAAAGTCTCTGGTCATTGACGAACACAAAGCATGGTCTGACACTCATGAAAAACACACGTGTGTGGATTCTTGAGTGCTCCCCTTTGGTGGATATAGCATTCCTCCAACGTACATTAAAACATACTCGAAGGAATCCGCCTAACATCTCAATCAAGGTCCTCCTGAAAGTTCTGAAGACTCATCGAGGCTTTTCTGATTTTTTTATTCAACTATTTCAAGAAACCTAAAGTTTATTTTATGAATCAACTAATCAAGATTTGTTGATTCTGAAAATATGGTCAGCATGTGCCAACTGTTGGCCTAAAACTACCAATCGCTGACCCGACCGTAGTTCAGCGTCAAATAGGGAGAACGTTGTAAAGCTAAGGTTTTGAAATGCAAGGTTCATACACACACACGTGCATGACATTAACGGTCAAAACCTCTTGTGTTTTACAACAATGCAGCAGTTTGAGCACTGTGCTCCAATCATGACAACCTGGGTCCAATTCCTGGCCACACACGGCCCTGGTGACAATTTATATCAAACCCTGGCCTCTCGGCTTCCTCTTGGCCAACTTGATCTAAAATAAGTTATCTCGACAAGTGTGGACATCATGGGACCTCCTTTGCCAGTACCAAAATATACTAATAGGGGTTTTCCCCTTTTTTCTGGCAACAAAACTGACACCTTTTGCAAGGAATCATGCTTACATTAACCACAATACTGGCAGTCAAATGCAAACAAAAAACAATACTCTGATAATTTATGCATTGTCTTTGAAACTGATTGGTCCACACCAGAGACAGCTTTCTTTGGAGCCTCGTCTCATATGGTGTTCGACCAGATGACGCCATTGTGGTTAATGTAAGCATGATTCCTTGCAAAAGGTGTCAGTTTTGTTGCCAGAAAAAAGGGGAAAACCCCTATAAGTGTGGACGTCAGAACGTGTGGTTCTGGCTCCAACGCCAGAGCGACCCTCAACAGATGCCGGCTAACGTTTGCCTGTCAGCGTTGTGCGTGTGTACAACGCATGCAGTTTCAAGATTAGTTTGCAGTTTTATACGCGAGGTGTTAACCCCGATGTAATAACATGGGGTGTGAAACTCTAATACATTACAACTGAACAGATTATTATTTCCAATGATACATTTACAAAGTGTAAACTTGGGTCACGTAAAAACATTTCTATGCTGGCATGAAAATGTGCTAAACATTTTTTCTCCACACCGTTGCTCTTGTCTGTCTGGAATATATTACGACTATTCTCTGTGGCATCAGCTGCGTGTATCAACTATCGTGAGATTTGGTTGAGTACGTGTAACATGAATGTGTGCGAGTGTAAACTGGCCTTGTATTCTTGTGTGCGTGCATCCACGTGTGCATATGCATGTGTTGATGTGCGTGCCTTTTGGGCAGCAGTGGTACAGGGATGTGAGCAATGAGATATTAACCAGACGATCTGCATGCCATTCCCAGCCGGGGATAACATCACTGGCAAATGGTGTCTGGGCCTCCCCGAAATTGAATCGATACTAAATGAGTATATGATGCAATGTACATACACAGCACCAGGATGACAAAGTTGGCAAATATGTTATGCTAGAGGCACATCTGCTTCTTGCACTATGGGTACTCATAACAGCACTTACCCCAACAGTGTAGTTATAAAAGTGGATATTTGTGTGTCTGAGAGCGATTGCGTGCATGTGTGTCTATGCTTGCAAAACGTGGAGCTATTTATAGCAACATCTATGACTGTTTGGAACATTCAGGCTGGCCTGCCTACGATCCATCCTGGGTTTAACCACACTGCATTGTACGAGGAGCTCAAAGATCTAGACACAGTCCCATCAGTGAGTTCCTCCGGCAAGCGAGGATGCATTAGCTGGGTCATGTTGCCTGCATGCCCAGCCACTGAATGCCCAAGCAGCTTCTGTTTGGCCAGATAGATTGGGCTACATGGGCGTGGCACGGGCTACTGAAGAGATAGCCTGATGTGGTACAGAAGGATATGGAGGTGATTGGACTTGCTGATGACTGATACCAGCGGTGTCAAGATCGGCCTGTGAGCGGCACTCACAATGGGCAGATCCCCGGGAAATTAAAACACACTAAGTTGGCACAGTCGGGAGCACAGGTGGTACCATCTGCCAGTCATCTTAGTCAGTCTATCCATGGCACCAGGGTCTGTTCTGTGAATTCCTGTCGGTGAGCCTTCGACACTACAGATGGCCTCACGGTGCACCTAGCCTGGCACAAGTTGCCGTGGTGACATCACCGCCACTTAGTGGCCACCCACCCCTTTGTGTGCCGTACCGGCCTTCATAGGTGCTCGCTAACATTACTTGTCCCAACAGTCTGTTAAGGCTATACGGGGGATCTTCATCTTTGTTTGTGTGCATGCATAACACGTGTCTGTCCTGTGACCTTTTGACAGTGAGCCATCGACACTTCACGTGATGGGCTCACAATGCACCGCATGCACCTAGCACAAGAGCTGTGGTCAGATCACCGTCACTTAGTGGTGAATAGCGCTCATTTGTTTAGCACGTTGGTTTCCGTAGACACTCGAGCATAGTCTTCCGGGTTAGGCCATGAGTTAGAAAATGTTCTCATGCTTTTTCCATGCACGATTATGGGCATCTTCAACTCCTAAAGAGAGACTCCTGAAGTTGCCCGCAGGAGGGCGGGACGAAAGCTTGAGAGAAGAAACGGTGGAGGTGCTCGTAGCGGTGCGTGGCAAAACCTTGAGAGCATTTCTGAAAGATGCCCGCGGTAGAGTGCGGCATGTACTTACACATCTTCAGCTCCTGAAGAGAGCCGCAGTAGTGTGTGGCGCAAGCTTGCGAGAAGAATTTCCCAAGGTACCCAGAGCAGTGTGCGACATGTACTTGCACATCTTCAACTCCTGAAGACGTCGACTGTAGGGCCTGGCGAAATCTTGAGAGAAGAAATGCTCAAATGTTCAACACGTGGCCCGAATCACAACACCACACTTGGTTTGTTGTTGTAGTTGATCTGTGAACACGTGTGCATTCACACGCGGAAGACCATACTCGATTTGCTGTTGTTGCTGCTACTATGTGAACACGTGTATTCACCCACTCTTGGTTTGTTGTCGTCGTTGTTGCTGCTGCTGCAATGTGAACGCGCAAGCAGTCACGTGCGGAAGACCACACTTTGTTTGTTGTTGTTGCTATGTAAAAGCGTGAGCAGTCACGCGCGCACGTGGAGATGCAACGCGAGCGCTTACGAGCGCTACGAGTGCTTGAGCGCGACCGCCTGCCGCTCCACGGGGCTGAAGTGCAGCACAGCGGCGATGGCGTTGAGCGCATGCTGCCTCCCGCGCGCGTCGCCCAGCGTCAGGTAGCGGTAGACCACGTTCTTCAGGTACTCGAGGCTAGCACCATCGCGGCCACGCTCGCGCGCCCGCTCGTCCAGCATGGCGCGCAGGCTCTGCACCTCCTGAAGGGCGATGGGAGTAGGGGGGGGGTAATGCGCATGCACGTGTGAGAATACGATACCCAGTGTGTGCGTCTTGTGCGTTCATGGGGAGCGGTAGTGTAGCGGTTAGCGTGCTGCGCTACGAACCCGGCGACCCGAGTTCGATTCCCGCTCATGGCCAATACCAGTGACGATTATCTGAACTGGTCCTGGGCCTCCTCTAGGTTAGCTCGGCCTCAAATGAGTACTTGGTGCGATGTGTAAACATAGCCACCTCCTCTCGTGTGCCATGCAGGCATGGATAGGTGCTCGCTAACAGCACTTGCCCCAAAAGTCTGCTAGGGCTAATATTCGTGGGATCTTTGTGTGAGCATTTACCTGTTGGTGCTTCTCTTCAGCCGTAGCTATCTCCTCCTTGAGAGCCCTCACACTCCTTTCCAGGTCTCTCTTCTCTCGACGCAGTGCGGCCATCTCCACCTCCCTAAAGTGCATGCACAACAAGAGTTGCTTTGCGTGGTTGCCGATGTAGTCTCGCGTTGTTGAGGGTCAAGGCTTCGGCTGCTGTGGTTGCATGTGCATCACTATATGGATGCACATTTGGTTACGTGCAGAGCTACATTATGGGCAGCGGAGGGCGGTGTAGCAAATGCATTGAACTGTTCTAGGCTCCCACATCAATGCTCCTTGGCCTTCACCAACCCGAACTAACCCGTGCTACCCACACGGCATAGGGAGGGCTCTCCTGTAGCAGTGGGGTTGACAGAGGGCTGTACATGTGTGTTGTGTATGTTAACATGATTGTATTGCATGCTGCCTGCTACTGGATATCAGAGCAGTGTTGATATACATGAGCTACGTGAGTGCTCGAGTTGTACGATTGCACGATGCTATGTTAGTACATGTACACATGAAGCAAGTGCGTGTGATGTACAGGATGTGAATGATATAGTTATGTCTGTATATATAGGTTGTAATGTGGTTTAGTAGTAAATCATTGAAGGTGGAGTCTCGTGAAGGATGCTACTGGGCAGTTGGAGACAGTCGCTATCCAGCAACAAGAGAGGGCAGACGAGTGAATAGAGAGCACACGTGGTCATTGGCAAGTCATCTCAGTCAATCAACCCATGGCACCTGGGTCTGTCCCGTGGCCTCCTGCAAGCGGGCGCTCGACACTTCACGTGGCCTCAACGTGCACATAGCCTGGCACAACCACCGTGGTGACGTCACTGCCACTTAGTGGCGAATGGCGGTTGTTGTTGTTACAGGTTGTAATTTGTAGCAATATCACCATGTGCTGTGCATGGTTTGTATGTGTGCTGTATGCTTCGTCAATGTTCTCAGTATATGTGGCCATGTTTCTATACGAGCTGTAAGCTAACCATGGTTGCTTACGCACAATGCATGTTCGTTGTGTATTGAACTGCAACCCCTGTCCTGTTTCTGTCGGTGCTGTGTTCATGCCGTGTCTGTGTGTGCTGCATCCTTGCTGCGTCTGTATCTGCTGTGTCCATTCTGTGTGTGTGGTGCCTCTACTGTGGCTGTGGGTGCTGCATCCACGATGCGACAGTGGGTGCTGTGTCCATGCTGCGACTGCGTGCTGTGTTCATGCCGTGTCTGTGTGTGCTGCATCCTTGCTGTGTCTGTATCTGCTGTGTCCATGTTGTGTCTGTGTGTGTGGTGCCTCTACTGTGGCTGTGGGTGCTGCATCCACGATGCGACAGTGGGTGCTGTGCTGAGCTCTCACCGCCGGGACAGCTGCTCTACGTAGTGCAGCAGCATGGCCTGGCTGTGGGCCGGTAGCTCCAATGCTTCGTGCGAGAACCCTGCTGCAGACACCTCCTGCCCGTCAACACCGCCCTCCGCCGGCCTGCAGCCCAGACAATGGCCATTGAACAGCATTCACTGCTTAAAACACATCACACTTGGACAAGGTGATCATTCCTGCTGCATTGACCTATGAGATAATTTCTCCCATAAAGGAAGATATTTTATTTTTCATTTCAATTTCGTAGCACTGCCATTATATAAGATGTCCGACTCTTGCGAATAATATCAGAGTGTTATTTAAAAAGATTGTCTTTATCGTAGATTGTGTGCTTTGGTAATCCATTAACAGGCATTTACCGGACTCAGTGACAATTTGTAAGAAAACAGACCTGCCTACTCTCATGACGGGCTTTTGCACGCCTGTTATCCAACCATCTGGAGAGGCAAGATCGAGGTATGAACATGGCCAAAGCCACTGATGGCAACACAAACTCGCCAATGCTTTATAGCTTTGGCCAGATCCCTCAGCTGCTGTGCAGTAGACACGCGACCTCCAATGTCGGCCCTAACAGTGTCCCGGCATCTGCTCCGAGGTCTTCGCCTAAGTCGCCGGACTTGTGGCGACCACTCCGATTGGAGGTAACGACTGGTGAATCAAGAAAATGAGTGAAACGCTCAGCTATGAAACTCTCCACTACAGCTGGAACCAGGTGAGATGTTAGGGACGCCATGGTGGCGTGATGGTAAACAGAAGGTCCTTGGGTTCAATACCAACCATGACACCTGTATATCTGGAGTTTGCATGTTCTCTCAGTGGGCGTGTGGATTCTTCTCTGGGTCCTCCGATTTTTCCCTCTACATTTAGAGTGGCTGCTATAAATTTCCAAATGATGATAAGCCGCTTCGTTGAGCTATCATATGTGGCCAGGTCGCTTCTGAAAAAGATCCATATAGCTCAGTGACCTTACCTGGTAAAAAAATATATATTTAGTAAATAGGTGCCACTGAGCCCGCGGGGCCTCACCCGTGGTTTGACGCCGTCACGTGGGGTTCGGCACGGCCCCCCGCGGCTTGCGCCGCGGCCCGGAGCGCGTGGATCTCGTGCTCGCGCTCCGCCAGCAGGGCGAGCGAGCGGTCACGCTGCCGGTGCATCTCGCTCTCCAGCGCCAGCACTCGGTCGCGGAACGCCGCCTCGGCGAGGTCGCGCTCGCGCTGCCCGCGCTGGCGCTCGCGAGCGCCGTCCGCGCGCAGCTCCTCCACCTCCCGCCGATGCCGCCCCACCAGCTCCTGTGGAGGCACGGGGAGGTGAGCATCACGGTGTGTTTACGTGTGTGTGTACGTGTGTGTGTGTAGGGGAGCGGTAGTGTAGCGGTTAGCGTGCTGCACTACGAACCTGGCGACCCGGGTTCGATTCCCGCTCACGGCAAACACCAGTGACGATTATCTGAACCGGTCCTGGGCCTCCCCTAGGTCGACTCAGCCTCAAATGAGTACCTGGTGCGGTGCGTAAACATCGCCGCTAGGGAGACAAAGGCGGTCGGGCGTGGCGCTGGCCACCCACCCCCTCGTGTACCGTTCCGGCCTTCATAGGTGCTCACTAACAGCACTTGCCCCTACAGTCTGTTAAGGCTATACGGGGGATCTTTGTTGATCTTTGTGTGCATGAGAATGTGGGGAGTGGTAGCGTAGCGGTTGGCGCGCTGCGCTATTAACCTGGCGACACAAGTCCGATTCCTGCTCACGGCCAACACCAGTGACGATTATCTGAACCAGGTCTAAGGCCTCACTTAGGTCGGTTTGCATAGATGCTTGAAAACAGAACTTGCCCCAAGAGTATGTCGAGTCTGTATGGGGAATCTTTGTCTTTGGTGTGGGAGTGGTGATACAATGGGTCATACAGAGCACTGTGAACCTGGCGACTAGAGTAGGATTCCTGGCCAGGGCTAACATCAATGACAAGTGGTATCAGAAGTTAACCATAGCTTCCCATAGGTCAGCCAGTGGAATTTCCATATATTATTTACTTCTGAAAAGCACGTTACCATTATCTTTATTTTTATGGTATGAACAAAACACCCACAACAACCGCCATTCGCCACTATGGAGCGGTGACGTCACCACGGCACTTGTGCCAGGCTATGTGAAGTGTCGAATGCCCGCTGGAAGGAGGTCACGGGGCAGACCCAAGTGTCATGGGTCGAGTGACTGAGATGCTTGCCGATGTACCATCTGTGCCCCCTACTTTGCCAACTTGCTGTGTTTTAGCCACCCGGCGCTCCGCTTGTTGTTGTGAGTGTCGTTCCTCTGCCCAGTAGCGTCCATCACGAGCCTCCTCCACAGAGGCCGATCTTGACACCGCTGGTACAAGTACACTCAGCTCCACATCCTCTTGTACCACATCACTCCATCTCTTCTCTCGCCTTAGCCCCCTCTATCCGGCAGAACAAAAGCTGTTTAGGCACGAGATAGCGGGGCATGCGGGCTACATGACCCAGCCAACGCAGCCTTGCCTGCCAGAGGAGCTCACCGATGGGGACTAATCCAGCCTGGTTAATCCCAGGATGGATCGTAGGCAGGCCAGCCTAAGTTTCTAACCGGCAAAGATGTTCCATTAGGGGGGTCCACGTTTCGCAAGCGTAGAGAAGGGAGGACATAACTGTGGCTGAGAAGACCTGAAGCTTCATGTGGAGCGTTACGCAACCGATGAAAAGACAACGCCGCTCGACTGATTCGGAGTGAGACCTCTGCTGTCAAACCGGAGCCAGTCATGAGCACACTGCCCAGGTATGGGAAACTCTCCACTCTCTCCACAACTGCCCCATCACCAATTTGGAGTTGTGGGGGTGGACTGTCTGATGGTACAAAATACCCAGACAGGTGCTTAGTTTTGGTGGGGCTGATGGTAAGGCCCCACCTCTTAGTGGTACGCTCCAGGTTCAGCTGCAGCGCCTCCAACTCCTCCTCTGAGTGAGCAGCAATGACCAGATCATCGGCATACGTAACATTAGCTGACCAGTAGGGAGCCATCCCTTGACTGCACCACGCAGCCCAATACAAACAAGACGGACAAATAAAAGACGTTTCAGCATCGATTCATAGATCGGATCATGACCCCCCCTGATTAGATGTTTGACGTGGGGAAGTCGGCGCTTGCACCCACCCGCCCCTACCTGGCAGTGAGAGCGCAGGGCGGCGTACCGCTCGCTCAGCTCCGCCAGCTGCCGCCCCAGCTCGGCGACCTCGCTCTTGTCACCGAGAGAGCGGCCCCAGCCGCGCGTCGAGGTGCCGCGCAGCCTACGCGCCGCCTCCTGGAGGCCCAGGACAGACGCCTTCTCGCAGTCGGTGAGCGGGTGCTGCATGGCGTCGTCGGCGTCGTTGTTGGCGTCCTCGTCGTCAGCGCCGCCGCCGCCGCCGCCATCACCGTCGACGTCGACGCTTTTCATGCCGGTGTTGGCGGCGCGGTCGTGGCCGCGTGCCGACGCGAGGAGGGCCTGCACCCTGGCGAGCTCCTGCTCCAGCGAGGCGACGTCTGGATGCCGCGCGGATTGTGCCCCTCCGTGGCCAACAGCTTTCAACGCCCGCCCTGCAGCGGGGCAACAGCCCCTTTGAGCCGTCGTTGTCGCGTTCACAATTCAGAAGTCAAGTTGAGATGCGGAATTGAGGGGGCCGTTTGGCTCGGATAACAAGAGCACCGAGCTGGCACCACTGAGATGCTGGGTTCAAAGCTAGGCAGCCACCCATAATTAAACCAGATTCTCAACTGTAAAAAGTTGATGGTCTTAGCCTAATCAGCAACAAGTACGCAAAAAAATACATTTTGGGTTTTGACATAGATTTATAAAGTTCCAGCTCTGAGAATTGACAATATTGGTTTGACTGTCATGTGACAAATATCTATAACAGAAGGCACACAGAAACGTGCAACCACGGGGAGAACATGCAAACTCCAAATAGACAGGCGTCAGGGTTGGGATCGAACCCACGACCTCCAGTATACCAGGCGAGGTAATTAATACCTCGCCACCATGGCTCCCACTTTCAAGATCTCATTAAGTCAGGTGCATTCACGATCATTTGGTTATAGCCCTGGCAGCATAATTAGATCATAAACAATACCACAGTAAACAATTCACCCGAACCTGAACCAAGCAACGATCCATCGGCATCAGTCGACGAAATGTCCGCAAAACCTCCAGTGGACGACGCTGCAGGCTCCTCCGCCTTCCCTCCACACGCGGGCTCGGCATCACGGAGCGACGTGCTGCCGCTAGTGCTGGCGAGGGCAGCAGCGAGGGCAGCGTTCTGCTGCGCCAGGCGGGCGACGGAGTCGCGCAGGCGGGCGGCCGTCTCCTGGTCGCGCTGGCGCTCGCGCGCCGTCGCGCCCAGCGCCGCCGAGATCTCGCCGATCCGCTCCTCCAGCCCCGCGGCGCGCTCCTCGCTGCACCCGGCACGCGCCCGCAGCGCGGCCTCGGCCTCCAGCGCCTGCAGCAGAGGTCGCAAACGGGTTTTGATTCCTTACCCGTACCCGGCCGCACCAGGGTCGCAAACGGGTACCCGTACCCTACCCAATACCCAGCTACCCGTACCCGGCTGGGTATCGGGTAGGGTACGGGTACCCGATTGCGACCTTTGGGATGAAGCCATGTTGCAGGCGTGGGTGGGTTGATTCTAGGAACTTGAATTGTGAGAAGAGACAAGACGTTGGGAAATGAGTGACAAACGGTTACTCACCAGTGACTCACGGCCTACCCGTACCCGTACCCGGCCGCACCAGATTCGCAAACGGGTACCCGTACCCGGCCGGGTACGGGTAGGGTACGGGTATCGGGTACCCGATTGCGACCTCTGGCCTGCAGCCACCACCAGGGGAATACGAGCGCATGAGAGCACCAAATAGAAGCGTTTGTTTTTAAGAACAAAAATGCAATGCAAAACAAAAGATTTTACTGTATGTATGTATATCGAATTTATTTTGTACCGTACCGTGCTAATCGGTTTAGGATGGAGACAATTTTATTATTCAAGCGTCGAAATGTGACCTACAAGTAGAAATGGCAAAACCGCAGGTCATGCGTAGAGGGATAAAGTGTGGGTATTCCCACTTCTTCCAAAATGTCTAGCCAGGGTGGAAGAGTAGGCCAAAAATACCCTGTAGAGGAGCTCTCTGTGGCTCCCTGTGTCGTGAGCAAGACATTTCAAGGCTGCAAACTTAACAATACGCGACTGCATCTCATAACTTTCGTTGCCCAGTGGACGTGTTTGTGGATGTCCCCTTCAAGTTTCAAGTTTGTTTAGTTTAACCAGTTGAGAACTCAGGAGAACAGGATAGTCTCATTTGCAAGAGTGACATGGGGCATGAAGACTACTAGTACGAGGCATTGATTGCTACGTAGAATCCCAATTATCCAGTAATTTCTGCATAATTTTCCTAATTTGGCAAAGTTGGACCCTGACACTGGCACACAATGACCTACTCTTGTCAGGGGATCTTTCATGTCCAGTGTGAAGTGGATGGTGATTATTATTATTATTACGGTTCCTACAACCGCAGTAAAAATCAGAGCGGCCTGCTGGATTTGAACCTCGACTACAAGCGGCCAATCAACTACCACGGGGCCATGTCATCGCTCATTCGTCGACTAGTTATTGTGCAGGATATGACAAAAGTTTGTATTTTACAGGCCACACATCCTCGGTAACGTGTCCTGTGGTGTACATTATGAGTTACAAGCTTCATTAATTATAAATAAGACCAGGCATGACTCCATGCTCTGACGTGACATTAACCCTCTGAGCCACCCAGCTACTCTGTAGATTCCGGTTTTAGCCGACATACAAAAAAATACTTAACATGCAATTCATCAACCATCCTAAGCAGGACCCTCCTGAGAGAGTCTTGAGACTGATGAGGCTCTCGTGGACCAATGAATGAAGCGCTACTGTGGTTCGCGTTTGTTCCACGTGCGGCCGGCTGGTACCTGAGTCGCTTGCAGTTGCAGCTGCGCTGCCGAAACGGGCGGCCTCCTCTCCCGCCTGTTTGCGCGCCCGCTCCTCGGCGGACACGGCGCGTCTCAGCTGCTCCTCGGACTGCGTGAGCTGCGCCCGCGTGGCCTCCAGCTCCCGCTCGAGCCGTGAGAGAGTGGCTCGGTGTGACGCCACCTCCTCTGAGCCCACGCTCGCCTGCGTAGCAGGCGCACATCCGGATCAACGCCCAGGAATTTGTTCGAGCAATAACTACGACGGTTACGGTTGACCGACAGAGGGTCGTAACGCAGAGAGGTTCGCGTCCATCTCGATCTGGCACAGCCAGGGGTGATTGAAGCCTGCTAGCTGGACACGCTTCAAATCGCCACTTGGCATCACTCCGCACCTTGACGTGACACCTAGCCGTAGGGGGGGAGGACATGGATTGGAATGTCAAACGGCATTGGCAAACACACGGCCACTTACCAAGTAGAGTGACACGTGCCTTTAACCCAGCACTTCGGTGACATAGGTTGATGGAAATGTAGATTTGCAGCCAACAGTGCTGGGCTACAAGGTGGTCAGGAGACCTCAGTACAGCAAATGAGTTTGTGAATCCATCTGTGTGGACCCTCGAGTGTTGTCCATCCATATGCATGGTGGTCTTTCTCCAAATACTCAAATCAGCATAAGGCAGTGCTCATCTCCAGTGATTAAACTGATCCAAAATTCAGTCGCAGATTAAATTAACATACGCGTTTTAGCCAAATACTCCGATACAGGATGGCCTATTCTTGCAAATGAAATGACAGGGTTTTTAATTGACACTTTTGAGCATAAAATATGCTTCGTTAAATTCCCTTTACAGCTAAAAGCAAAAGTGACTCCCTGCTCAGTCACGCAATCTGGCGGTGCGCATCTCCACTGGCTGTCCTGATACAGCAATGGGAATTCCACGTAACTACCAGGGCCAGACACATGACAGTAAAACCACCATTGAGTGTTACTCACGCTATCGACTCCCGGAGGGATGGCGAGTCAAGTCAGGGACCGCTACCCAGAACGGGCAGCACGGGGAATCGAACCGTCGGTTCGCACCTGTGCGGACTTGGCCTCTTCAAGGGCGGCCTCCGTGTTGTTGGAGCGGGCACGCTCCTCCGCCAGAAGCCTCTGCAGCTCACGTAGCATGGCGCCATGGTCAGCCTGCTCCTGAAGACCGCACGCAGCAAACAGCACAGCACACAGCGACGTCAGCATAGCACTGGGGTAGCGGCGCCGCCACACTTAAGAATTGTTCCCAGCAGTTACTGGTTAGATAACAGGAAGAATGCGTGAACTTCACCCCACACTTCATCACGCATACCAGTTCTGCTACACTATAGTTGTATTACCATCTACGCAATTGCAGGCTACTGATTCAGTACGAAGCGTACTATACTCTTAGGTTTTTTCGGTAAAGTCACGTAGGTAAAAATTTTAATTAATAAAAGTAAAGTAAATAAAAAATTCCTAGCAGCAGCCTCAGCCGCACCAACCTCACAATAATAATACAAAACTCCGATCCAGGTGCCTACCTTGGCTCCTCCCCCCCTTAACCAGTATATATACAAGGACGGGTCTCTTAGAATTTCTCTTACTTGATACAGCAATCCTGCTGTGATGGGTCCACCTGAAGACGGAAGTTTGTGCTGCCTCCGAAACGTCGTGATTTTTATCTTACTTTTATTAATTTTAATTTTTACCTACGTGACTTTACCGAAAAAACCTAAGAGTATGAATCCTTGCAGTCATGAAAGTTTCAAATCTAGAACGAAGCGCACTGTTCGAGCGCTACTGTCTACTCAAAAGTTCTATCAGGACAATCAGCAGTTACGTCACCTTGCTGAAAGGAGTTCAATGGGGGCTCAAAAATACCGTGAAGCTTTTGTGAGCGTCTCTTCGCCATATCTAAACACTACTGGGGGTGTTTGGACATCCCCTACTGCCGCACAGGCGGCTGTGCCCCTGACGCTGGCGGGCAAGAGGCATCTCGCACAGCGCCCTTCACAAATCGCTCGCACCCGAAACGAGTGCGACAGCCGTCCCTGGCACGAACCTGCTCCCTCTCCCGCTGCTGAGCCAGCACGCGGGCGCGAGCCTCGGCAAGCTGCTCGGCGAGCCTCCGCGCCTCGTTCGCCTGCCGCGCGCGCTCCTCCTCCGCCCGCCCGCTCGCATCTTCCATCTCCTGCACACGCAGAGGCGCAGCCGACAGAGAAAGTCAAAGTGGTTCCCACGTCAAGCTAAACAACGTGGAAGGGTCCGTTTCAAAGCCTACAGGGTTCTAACTGCAGTCAAGTGCCAGCACGAATTGTCATACAGCAAAAGTCAACCGATTTCAGGGGAAAGTTCGTACCTAACTCCCCAACTAGGGCATGGAAGAATTTGTCTCCTCGGATTGGAATGAAGATGGGGTGATGTTATGCACTCCTACATGCACTGTGAATTAGAAATTGTATGTTCCTATGATGATGGTGAGGCTGTTCGTGGGACAACCACTTTTCGCTCACTAAAATGTGGTGCCCAATGATATCGTGAGATTAATGGATTTTCAAATCTCCAACTGGGATTTTCTAACGTGAACCGTGAATGTGAATGGCGGTGCAACTATGACGTTACACAGCCAGATAATTGTTAAACGATGCGAAATTCTCAAATAAAGTCTTAACTAGAATGATGTATCATAATATGTGACCAACTGCTTTACAAAATTACATGCGAATGGATGCGATAACAAGGGTGAAGGAGTTAGAATGAAATGAAGATTGCTGTCGTTAATCTACCCACGCGAGGTCACATTGACATCATGTCCTTTCGGCTTCCATCTCTGACCTGGCGCAAGCGTCTCTTCTCAGCCTGGTAGGCGGCCTCCATGCGAGACTTCTCCTGTGTGACCGTGGCCAGTGCGGATGTCAGAGTGGTCAGATGCGACTGCTCTAACTCGCCAGCGCCTACGATTGCACACAGACATACGAAACAGACCAATAATAGTGACGGAATAGTTTGAATTCTCCGATGCGTTTTTGGGTTGTACCGCGTGTTGTTCGGCATGACATCCGACATTTCGCTCCACCTACTGGGAGCTTCTAAATATGCAGTTACTGGAGAAGCTTCCAGCGCTCTAGCGAAACATCATGAAGTTTAAAATATCTACACTTAATCAAAGGTGGTTGCCTGGATACAATACCAGAATATCAATGGTGCCAAACCAGTGGAGGTGGTTTGCACAGCCCGGATTCTAATCTGGGTTGCTCGGCTCATAGTGCAGTGCATCAATCATGACATAACCACCCACACATACAGACGAAGATCTCCTATACAGCCACGCAGAAAGTTTAGAGCAAGCGCTGTTAACGAGCACTTCAGGCCAACATAGCACATGATGTGCCGGTGGTGGCCAGCTTTTTTGTGATGTTCACACACCATGAACGGAGGTGTACGTGCCCCCAAGGGGCCGTCCATAAATGACGTCACGCGATTTTGGACGATTTTTGACCCCCCACCCTCATCACGCGGCGTCACAAATAGTCAGACTCCCCCTCAAATATGACGTCACAAAGCTCTGCCCCCCCCCCCCCCCCCAAAAAAAATTAAACATGCTTCAAATCGCTTTAAACTATTGTCATTGTAGTGCGTATTAATGTGGCGCTGCACTCTAATGTTGTAGAAGAAAACATTTATTAAAAAGTATATTTCATTAAGTACAACGTGTTGTCTATATTTATTTAAAGTTGCGCATTTTGATGTGACGTCACATTTCTCAACCCCCCCCCCCTCGTCACACATCGTCACAAATGTCTGACCACCCCCCCCCCCCCCAAGTGCGTGACGTCATTTATGGACGGCCCCTAACATCTCCAGATACCAGTTGCACTGGTGGTATGCATGGCCAGAAATCTGACCGGTGTCAACAAGCTAATGTTCTTCTTGGTTCTTTCGGTAAAGTCACGTAGAAGGGAAGTAATAAAATAATATAATAGTATTACTTCCCTTCTACGTGACTTTACCGAAAGAACCAAGAAGATGAATCCCTGCAGTCACGAAAGCTTTAAATCGAAATTTAAGCTCAATGTTCACCGTAAAAAGCCACTACCCAACCACAAACGCGCGCACACACACACACCAATATGCAAATTCCCACTCACGAGTATCATCATTTTCTTCATTCCCAGAGCCCACGGACTCTTCCTTTCCATTGGTCCTTTCGCCACCTCTGTCCACGGACGTGCTCGATTCCGAAGCTCCACCCACACAGGAGGCTTCTCCCAGACCCGTGGCGCTGCCGTCCGTGCCGCAGCTCGCCCCCGTCTCCCCACTGTCACCCGTCTCGGTGCTCCCGTCGCTTCGCACCGACAGCCCGTCCTCGCTGCCCACGTCTGTTGGTCAGGAAGGCAACTTTAACGTCTGTGATTTGACCCCCCCCCCCCACCGCCCCCCGAGAGCCAAGACTTATGACGGAGTGGCAGCCAAAGAATAGAACGTATCTCAGAGAATGTCGACCATAAATATAGAGCAATGGTGTGAGGTGATTACACTGTAGGCTTGTGAGAGATGGCAATGGTTTGGGAAGGTTTTCATCCAGTAGTGGATTGATCATGGCAGACGGTGATGATTATTTGACCACTAAGAGTCTGTCTTTTGAAAAGGAGACTTCAAGTAATTACAATTTGCATAAAGACGGATTATTATAGTGTGATACAATTTTGTCTGTTTATATGAAGTATGAGATTTAGCCAGGACACTGGGCTACATGATGTTACTGGGATTATTGTTCTTTTGTTTCCACCACCCTATTATATTCCAATTGTGCAAATGGGGTATTGTCACCAGAAGAAGGAATTCCAGTTGGACCACTGACAATGAGCACAGAAACACCATGTAATGTGATTTAATGGCCCCAGAAGATTGTCACGGAATTATTTCTGAAGTCACTTCATCCACACTCGGGGTACACTCTAATTTGTCGCATGCCAGTCAAACTGAGATTGTGAGTCCTCAGTGCTATAGTACACCAAAGGGAAAACTAAATTTAGCATGAAGCTTTCTTGTATTGTCATGCATGAATGGGAAGCATTGACTCACTACACTTGATAAGCTGAATTTATCTAAGATGACTGAAATTGAGATTCGTATCTCAGCAATCCTGGTGTGGTGTTCTGACATGGGATTAGCAATCTAAGTCACAAGGCTCCTTCAACATTACAGGCCCTTGTATGCAAATATTCTTCTGTAATGATTCTTGGTAAAATGTCCAGATGGCTATAGAAACCACGCCATCAACTCCATACAGACTGGCTCTATGATGAGTATCCTAACCACTAAACCACAGATTTTATTGGAAGGATTTAAATATGAATCTCGGCACTGTGGTGATGAGCACTGAATCTCGCCGCTTTAATGTTCTGACGGCATAGCAAGCAAACCCTGCATCCGTCTGCATATGCAGACCACATGCAACCTAACGTTTGGACTTACGTAAGGGAAACGGACGTACTTACTGAAGGGAGCCGAGGGCGCTTGGGAGCGCTGGCGAGCGCGCTGGGAAGCGCTGAGCGCTGTGAGCGATGCCTCCAGCGCCTCCTTCTCCTTCGCCAGGCCACGGTAGGCACGCACAACATCGCGCAACCGTGTCTGGTAGCGCTCCAGCTGCCCCCGTTGGTTGTCGACCAGCTCCTGCAGCTGGCGCCGGTTCATCGGAGCTGCACCACTTCCCGTGCCGCCCCCAGAACCCCCGACCAGGCTGGCCGCCAGCTTTTCCATCCTGACCCGCTGGCGCCTGGCAGCCAAGCTGACGGAACCAGGCACTCTTCACTGCTTTATCTGCGAGACGAAAAAGGGTTCGCTTGTGACCTGAGATGCTGAAACAAAATTGGTGACGCTGCCTCAATAGCCGGTTGGCTGAGCTGTGCCACACAAAGCCTTGCTCCGACACTCTGCCAGTTTACAGCATTCTGTGTTAAATTCCACAGTATAATATTTGTAAATATGAAACACAGCATTAACTCTCACCCTCACGTGCCATCCAGTGTCAACTGCCATCCACGAACCAATCGCCAACTTCTTTACCTTACAGGATAATGTGGTGACATTCTCAAACGAACCCATACGTCATTTCCGCCTAAACTGCACAGGGTTTGGTCGGCATTGCTCTCTTCACAGTTAGAGAACCAAGAACAAGATCTTGCCACTACTGCCACTGCGATACTTGCACCCGTGTTACCAGTCTCGTCTTGGTGTACGTGACCAAGGGAACATTTTCACGCGAGACGTGACTCTACATGTTGACCACAACCAACGTGCTACACTGCATCTCCTGCCAGAAAATATCCTGTTCACGGATGCAGGTGAAACACAAGAGAATTCTGGCAGACTCTTCATTGACAACCTCACTAAACCAGTCAGTAGAACGTTTTATATGCACAGGACGTGATCTGATCATGTCCAACGATATTATCTCACAATCACAGACGAGCCCTGTCTTGAGGCTCAAAACCAACATACATCATAGTGTTCAAGCAAGACTTAACCTCTGCTAACCTGTACAGTCCCACCTCTCACATTACCAACCACCTAACCCTACCTACTACCAGTAAGGCCCTTACTCTTTAGACCTTAACACGGTCTAAACGTGCAAATATACCTTTTCGCTCAGTAACAATACAAAATGTTATTACATGCTTAAATCCGTTGTGTATAGTGTATAAATACAAATTCGCATTACAGTATATGGTTTGCATATTACATGTTGCACTTTCATACACACGATTATTTACATAGCATTGACAATCTGTTGCGTACAGGTACACGGCATCATTATGAACATCGCGCTAACCACTGCACCACCGCTCCCCACTCACGCACAGCGCGCTAACCGCTGCACCACCGCTCCCCACACTCACGCACAGCGCGCTAACCGCTGCACCACCCCTCCCCACACGCACGCACACAACCACAGACTACTGTGCATGGGTTACAACTAACACTTATAGTGAACACACATACACATTCACATGAATACTGTACTACAATACAGTACAGTATATGCATATCCCCATATATCGGACGTTACAGGCTGTGGGGGCTACAATGTGGTCAGTGCAGTAAAACCCCACTGTTGGTGTGTACTCCTAGGCTCCCGCGTCGACGTTGCCCGCACTGACCAGCGTGGTTGAGGTACGGCGGTCAGGAAGGGCACCGCGTGTGTGAAGGCCCTCATCCAGCAGTGGAGAATATCAAAGGCTGCTGCTGCTGCTGCTACTACTAACGCGGTCATCGATTGCTGTGATTTCTAGACACGCCGCATAGCACCGCCGTGCCAGTACCAAGCATGCAGAGCGCGGGGCCGAGTGGCAAATGACGGCGATTCTACATTCCCGTGCCGGGGCCAAGTCCACTCCCAACACCGTCCGGCAGCCGATTTTTGACGATAACGGCGAACTTTAATGAGTCACCAGTTGACGGAAACCACGGGCATGATACACACCTGCTGAACGGCGATTGTGCGCTACGTTTAACGTTGTTTTTGTTGTTGTTATTATGATGAAAACCTCTAAACAATCGAGACATTTAAAGCGGATAACGAAGCGGCGTTACCTTGAGCCGTGATAGAGGCCGCCGATCGGCGTTACATTCCCTAGAGCGCATAAGGCGAGCTCGCCTTCTGATTGGTCGGAGAGGCGCGTGTCCGGCTCGGGCGTGTTACATCCGATTGGACAAGACCGAGAGACGTGACGCCTGAGTAGCCAATCAGAGCAAGGGGATCGATGATCCAGCGCGCGTGTGCACTGAGAAAAACAATAGAGGGATTGTGGGGGGGGGGCGTGGGGGGTGGTTGGGGGTGCTGGGGAGGTGGGAGTAGTGGGGGGGTGGTGGGTGGAGGTGGGAGTGGTGGGGGGGACGTGGTGGGTGGAGGTGGGAGTGGTGGGGGGGGACGTGGTGGGGGTGGTGGGGGGGGGGGACGTGGTGGAGGGGTGGAGGTGGGGGGATGTGGGGGGTGGTTGGGGGTGCTGGGGAGGTGGGGGGGACGTGGTGGGGGGGACGTGGTGGGGGGGGGACGTGGGACTGCTGGGGGGTGCTGGGGAGGTGGGGGTGGTGCTGGGGAGGTGGGGGGGGGACGTGGAGGGTGGTGGGGGATGGAGGTGGTGGGGGGGACGTGGTGGGTGGAGGTGGGGTGGTGGGGGGGGCGAGGTGGGGTGGTGGGGGGGCGTGGTGGGGAGGTGGGGGGGACGTGGTGGGACGAGGGGGAGCAGCGAGATGCAGTGGGAGCACGTGGCACTTAAACTCCAACTGGAGACCGCACGTGTCACTTATTACTCACTTCACATTTTTCAAGTTTCACGAGTCACAAACGTTGCAGTGTATATATTCCGACTGTAACTATTGTCTTATGCCATAACGCAGGGCGTCAAGTTACACATGGTTAAGAATAATGACGGGAGTGGCGGCGAATTAAAGAGACTCTCGCGAGAGAAATCGTCGACCGGGGATGATGATAGAGCGATTGAATCTCGTGTGCAGCTGCCATGTGACTAAACAACTCAGGATCGCGAGAGATGGCTGCAGTTGTGGCGGAGGCCTTCATCCAGCAGTGGATTGACCATGGGTGATGGGGATGACATTGTTTTGCTTTGTGTTATATACAGTAGACCGTACATTGCATTATACAACTGGAACGGTGCTATAATACATATTTAACGCTGTGTGGCCTGAAATAAAAACAAATGTGCAGGCGAGGTTTCGGGCAATGGCCCTTCATAGCAACGTGGAACGACTTACACAAATGGGGCCTTGTGAGTTACATTTAAAAACACGTTTTGTGATGACCAGTTTTTAAATTGGCATGTGAATAAATGTAACATAGGCTTTTGCGACAAATTGTTCACCAATGATGCTTGGGTTAGATCGCGATAGAAAAATGTGTGTCAATTCATAAAGTTGTGAACAAACGTGGCAATTTATTTCCAGAAATAATTTACGGCACCTGCCTGATGATTCCGGTCGCAACAACAAAGCGAAAACGTCGTACCAAATTTGTTAAAATGTTGCCCTCCAAAGCAATAATACATTTTACCTGTCGATTATGTTCTGATATAATAACAATTATCATATGAAATAATATGCTAATAGCATTTCACTACGCGGCACCAACACACATACACGTTACTCGTTACACGTGTACAGCGGTGACGGGTTTGGGCCACGTGGTGGCAGATGGGTGGGGGGTGGGGGGGGTGTTTGAGGGAGGGGGGAAGGGAGTTGAGGAGGGGGAGGGGCCTCTTCCGGTCGAGGGCTCAGATGACGTCACGCGCGGTGACGTGTCCGCCGGGGCTGCAGGGGGGGAACTGTAAACCGCCGGTGACGTCACGCGCTTTGACGTGCCGCCGGGGCTGCAGGGGGGAGAACTGTAAACCGCCGGTGACGTCACGCGCGGTGACGTGTCCGCCGGGGCTGCAGGGGGAGAGCTGTAAACCGCCGGTGACGTCACGCGCGGTGACGTCATTTTCTCCGCGTGGCGGCCGCCCCGGGTTTAGTTCCACGTCGTCCCGGCACCGCCTCACACCCGACCGAGGGCTACTCAAGTAGCAGCAGCAGCGACTCGCGTTGTTTTCTTCTCTCACACACACCACCCCCCTCTCCATCGTCGGCGTCCGTCTCCTGCTGCTAGCGCCGCCGCCGTCTTCTTCGTCGTCTTCGCACGGAGCTGTCGTGAGCGCACGAGAGCCGCGCCACCCACCATGGGCCTCGCCATCTCGCGCGTTCTCGCCGCGCTGCTCGGCACCAAGGCGATGCGCATCCTCATGGGTCCGTATTCTCTCTCTCTCTCTGTGTGTGTGTCTTCTTCTACTTCTCTCTCCCGTGTCTCTCTTCTCTCGCTTCACCATCTGTCTTGTCACTCCACACACATCACAACCTCTCAGCACCACACCTCCATCACCCCACACTCACATCACATCCTCATGGGTCCGTATTCTCTCTCTCTCTGTGTGTGTGTCTTCTTCTACTTCTCTCTCCCGTGTCTCTCTTCTCCCGCTTCACCGTCTGTCTCGTCACCCCACACACACTCTCATCACAACCTCTCAACACCCCACACTCACCCCACACCCTCGTCACCCCCACGCCCTCATCACCCCACACAACTCATCACACCCACACTCACCCCACACACTCACCCCACACCCTCATCACCCCACACACTCATCACACCCTCGTCACCCCCACGCCCTCATCACCCCACACAACTCATCACCCCACACAACTCATCACCACACTCTCACCACAACCTCTCATCACCTCGCACTCACCCCACACTCTCATCACCCCGCACTCACCACAACCTCTCAACACCCTCACACCCTCATCAACTTCTCTATCAATTCACCCCCCTCCACCTGTCGTCACCCTCTCTCTCGTCCCGATAGTCGCTCACTCATTCGTCGCCCGCACAGTCAAAAGACAGACAAATAGACATTGTATTCCTAAACAAGCATTCGGGCGGTGCTCATCTCTTATTTTAAACGTTGATATGAGCCAGTCGTGGACATTCCACATTGCTATGGCGCGGGAGAGTGTTTTTGTTTAGTTAATATCGGACAACCACTGACTTCCTGACAAAGTGGTACCCCGTTTTATCGGCACCAGGGTGAATGATGGGCTGAGTCAACCCACCAAGCAGGATTGGAACTCGCAACCTTTCCACGTGTGTGTGGTGTGCGAAGCGCTGTTGATGGCCAACACCAGTGACGATTATCTGAACCGGTCCTGGGCCTCCCCTAGGTCGACTCAACCTCAAATGAGTACCTGGTGCGGTGTGTAGTAAACATCGCCACTGGGGAGACAAAGGCGGTCGGGCGTGGTGCTGGCCACCCACCCCCTCGTGTACCGTTCCGGCCATCATAGGTGCTCGCTAACAGCACTTGCCCCTACAGTCTATCAAGGCTATATGGGGGATCTTTGTCTTTTTTGTTGGCCGCTGATGGAGGAGCGGTGGTGCAGTGGTTAGCGCTACGCTGCGCTACGAACCCGGCGACCCGGGTTCGATTCCCGCTCACGGCCAACACCACCGGGTGGCGATTATCTGAACCGGTCCTGGGCCTCCCCTAGGTCGACTCAGCATCAAATGGTTCGGTGTGTAGTACACATCGCCACTGGGGAGACAAAGGCGGTCGGGCGTGGTGCTGGCCACCCACCCCCTTGGCGACCTTCATAGACGCTCGCTAACACACACACACACACTTGCCCCGAACAGTGTTACAGGCTATACCGGGGATCTTTACCTTTGTTGCTGGCCGCTCGAGGTGTAATCGGGTCGGGCTAAATCGATACTTTTTATTTCGTTGGAACGATCCCAACACGGTGTGAAAGCGTCGCCTGCAGAAATCGGGATATGATCGTCACAGCGCTGTCGCTCTAGGACTCGAGTGGTGGTGGGGCTTGCACATCGCTAATCATCTGGCGTGGCAATGTAATTACAGAGAGGGATGTTGAAATACATAGCCCTTGTATGTATGTTGAACTTCTTTCGCACCGTACTACGTAGCCAACAGCGTGATGGTTAGGTGAATGAGGACACGGGTTTTGTTGGTAGGTTTTTTTTGTAACACTACGTAGAGTTTTAACCTTGACATTGTATCCGTAATGTTGTGTACGTGCCTTGGTTGTGTACGCATTTGAAGCTTCGTTAATGATAAAATATATATAGATGGTCACTGCATCGCACGGCACTTTCAGATGCGCCTCTACGGCCGTCTGGAACGCTCTTCCGACATTAGGAAGCCACTGGATGAGCTTACGCAGCGTCTCGATTGAAAACTAATTTATTTGGAATTGCTTTTTGTGTTTAGTTTGTTCTCCTTCACCTCCGATGAGCACGGTCGGCTACGTACGGTGCGATAGAACTTCAAATATAATTCATGCTCTTGGTTATTTCGGTAAAGTCACGTAGAAGGGAAATAATAAAATAATATAAATATTAAACAAGAAAACATTCTCACGACGTTTCGACTGCAACACAAGCAATCATGATCAGGTGTGAAATCCACATTTTATTGCTGTGGATTTTGAAATGTAAAATTTTTTTGCTGTGGATTTCACACATGATGATGATTGCTTGTGTTGCAGTCGAAACATCGTGAGTATTTTTATTGTTTTATATTTATATTATTTTATTATTTCCATTCTACGTGACTTTACCGAAAGAACCAAGAATATGAATCCCTGCAGTTAAATAAAAAAATATAATTCATGCTGTTCAACAAAAATATATTTCAAAGTGACGGTCGGCCTCCCAAAGAACGTCGCCGCTATTGGCTGCGTGTCCACCACCACCACACGCGTGACATCTCGGTGATGTGACACAATGACGCTCTTGGCCATACTTTTAATGAACATTGTTATGATTAATTATTCATGGCACTTCACACGCGTGTCTTGCACGTTAAGAGTTATTTCATGGGGGCGTGGGGGTGGGTTTCTGACCGAGCCGTTCATTGTGCGATGAAATGTTTTAATGGTGAACGTTGTGTTATTATTTAGTCATCGCAGGCCCACGTGGCGCAAGGGTATGTGGTAGGGGCTCTCTTGTCATTCGTAAAACAAGGCGAGAGTTAAATTCTTGGTAGG